ACAGGTGCTCTCACACACCACCGAAGCTCCGCTGCTCACTCCCCCTTACGATTCTCATACGTTTTCTGGCAAACGATCAAAGACACACGGAACTGATCCTGAGGCAGCTGCTCATGGCCGTTTCTCTCTTGCGTGCGCGCGCGCGCACACGCACACACACACACACACACACACACACACACAGCTCCTTCCCGCTCTGCTCACACCTGGGCATTACTCACCCCTGCAGGTGCTGCTCAGGCCTCAAGGTTTCTAAGCTTCACTACGATCCACGTGAGCCCGATAAAACAAGTACGCCATATACAAATAATTCTGTTGTTTATTTATTTTGAATACAAAAAGTGGCCAAGATAACAATACTAGTGGCTCTGCATACAAAACACGAGATATCCGAGGTTATTTCACATTTACAAAACTGCCATTATGTACAGCACTGGATATTCACAGCAATGTTATTCAACTCTAAGGACGAGACTCATATGAGCAGTTCGGGGGCATCCGAAATGGGAAAAAGCTAAAAACCAATGGTCTTTCATTAACTGGAGAGTCGGCCAACCAGCTATCTGGTAAAGAAAGAGAGGACCTGGTCCCCTATTCTTTACTGATGACTAAAATAAGGTTGCCCCCCACAGGGCTGAACACTGACAAGCACCCTCCAAAATTCCCATTTCATTTGCTCTTCCCCACTTCAAACTTCCCCAGAAACACCTGCCCTAATATTAGGTAAAAGCTCAGGACACTGATATACCATCTTCGGGAAAAGAAGGCTAAAGAGTGCTAAGGACATGGCATGGTCTGGGTCCATCGAAGCTCAGTTCAAACCCAAGAAAGAAATTGACCCCGTCCTGGTCATCGGTTTGGAACTCACGGGGAAAAGTGAGCCATGCTTCACCTAGAAGGTGGCAGGAAGTCACTCACTCGCTGTACACGTCACGAGCACCTACTCTGTGCAAGGCACTTGGCACTAGGTGCTGCAGGAGCCACCAAGACGAAGCGGACAGTCCCTGCCCTCAAGGAGCTTACAATCTAATCGTGAACGCTATGTACATCTATACGACGGGAGAAGCAGCCAGTTTTTCCGGGGCAGGGGTAGGGGTGGGGGTATGCCAAGCAAAATGCGGTGTTATTCTTAAAGTCATTTTATTTAAACGCTAAAAATCTGTAACACGCCACCTAATCAGATGGCAAACATTAAAAACCATCTCCTTTTTATAACCTTAAGTATTTAGACGTCTGTTCTTTTTATTTCCAAAAACGTCATATGTAAACATACACAAATTCGAAGCCGAGCACGAAGATCAGCACAGGCGCTGGGTAAACATGAAATATATTCGCTATACACAACACAGACTTATTTTTCTATACAGTCTTATTCCTGTATAAACGAGTTTGATATTCACTGTCCTTTCATACATTAAAGTACACATCTGAGTCGAAGTCTTGAAAAACACAGAATTCATTTTTGCCTTTAATTCGGCATTAGTACCAAAATTAAAACACCCTAAACCCTAGCGGCCTGTTAGCCAAACATAAATGGTAAAGTATGAACCGTCTGAAAGCCATCACAGCCTCTTACGTCGTCCAATATGACCACTTTACAGGATCTTTTTACGAAAGTAACGGGATCCTGTGATGGGAGGTAAGCAAAATTTCACCTTAGAAGTAAACATAACATTTAGAGTTCTGGAATTTAATTCTACCCGACCCATTTACAGCATTTCAACTAGGCAGCCTATACCGGGTGTCGGTATGAGAGTTTCATCATTCCCCCTTTTCAGCTCCTCCCGAGCCTGCAATGGATGAACACAGCACGTTGGTAATCCATATACTATTGCTCCAAATAAACTCGCTAAGACCTGGGATTGTATACTAAGTCTCCCCGTCCCCCCATCCCAGAGCACAGATATGACTCAAAGAAAACGCAAGATAAGAAAAGATGAATCACCTACCTGGGTAAAGAGGTTGGGGGAGAAATATCCATTACCAAAAGGATTAACTTCTTGACAGGACATCTTTATAAACAACCATTCCCGTGTTAAATGTGTCGATTCCCACACCAAGTTTTCAGAACAGCCCTGTCTTAAAACAAACTCTCTGTATGCACATGAGAGGCTGCAGCCTAGCTCCCAGACTCAGCCTCGCTAAGTCCTAATAAGACTGATCTGTGTCTGTGCCCTAGAAACGAGTTCGCAATCTTCTGCAAAATCCTGCTGCGTCACCAGGACTGCGATGCAACAGCGCTTCAGATGTCACTGGGAGCAACTTTCCATTCTGCAAATTTGACTTGATTCACTTTGAGACGGTCAGATTTCACATGCTCTCTAACCAGTTTGAAGAGCAGACATCATGTCAGCAGACGTGAAGATCTTAACTCCAGAAACCTCTTTCGGCTTCAGAAAAGAACATTTAAAAGCTATGTGACGCTGAGGCCTGAGACAGACAGTCTAAAACTCTGCTTGAAGCTGCCAGTTGATACTCAAACTCGTAACTAAAATGAAGCAACTCTCTCCGGTTGGCTCCTTTAGAGGCATTTTAAAACTCCGACAACTTGAAGGGAAAGGCGAGACCCCTGAGACACTCTGCGGACTCACCGCAGGCTAAACGCCACCTACACACGGAGGGCGGGCCGAGAGCATAAAGGTACAGTCACCAGGAGTCACAAAGCCACGCAGGGACTCGAAGCAGTCCACGTGGGCTCACTGTAAAGATTCATTTGTTTTGCTGTTTGTGCTGCCCAATCTCTAAAAAGAAAAACGGGGAGAATATACATTTCCCTTAAAAAATTTAGGACTGCTGACTCTGAATACAACCCATTCAGCTTAGCTTTGCCCAGAATTTTTGCTTGTCAAGGATAACCCTGGTAGGGGGCCGGGGACAGGGAGCTAGAATCTAGCACACTCCAGCCCAAAGTCCAGGCGGGAGTTATTCCACACTCTGAGAAAAAGTCCTGACGGAAACCAGATAGGATTTACCAAGCCAACAACTAACGCTATCACCTTTAAAAAGAAAAATTACCGTTTAATGGTTTCTTCTAGGAAGAGAGACACAACTACGTGATTTGGCTTTTAGAAATTTTATCACCAATCTATTTTTCTTTCAAACATGAACTCTGTTAACTCTGAGTGTGTCTTGAAGCTGAGCGAACAGAAGGAGTGGCTAGCGAGAGGGAGGCGGGAGGCACAGACGCTCGGCATCACCAGTGATGTGACTCCCGGGTCTTGCTGCAGGCACGGCCGGCACCCACCGAGCTCCAGTGCGGTTTAACCGCGGGTGCGCCATCAACCAGCGCCGACGTCCTCCCTCCCGCTTACCAAGCACCGACAAGCGGCAAGTTCCTCCACTTCCTACCTGACGCCGTGATGATCACGACAGAAAACGTTTTAATACTGATCACCTTTAACGTTCTTTAAACCTGATTAACCTGTGGAACTCACTCACAGGTCCAATGTACGTGCTTCAACAGCAGCATCCTCAAAACCTTCTTAGGAGGGAGAAGTGGGAAAATGTCACACTGAGCCGCGAGCTTGGCCAGTGGTTCTAACGGCTTCTGACACTGGAAAATAACTGGTAGTTTGGCAGATGGAATAGACAGAGATTGCCTGAGATCTGGGTGGTAGATGCAGGAGGATTTCAGAATAAATAATGGGCATAACAAGCTATCAATTTCTTATCTGGAACAATAGGAACAAATTAACTCTAGGCAGAGAAAGTGTGATACAGGTGTGGGGCTCTCAGACTCCCCAAATGCAACAGTGTTGCCGCTTAGAAGGACTAATTGTATGGACTCTGCCCCTGCCCTTACACAGAGCGGGCCCGTCGCGTTCTCCGGCCATTCCTGACCCAGCGATTACAGTGACAGCTGGAACACCCTGACCAGAGCGGGGACGTTCCAGGAAGGTCGAGGGTGTGGCAGGCTTCAAGCAGGAGAGGCGGCGAGTCTGAAGACTCCTGGTGTCGCTCCCACTTCCCACTGGGCAACGCCCTATCACCAGGGGCGCTGACCCTGAGTGAAAGCGAGAAGCGCACTGTTTGGGATGCTGCCTCTTATTCAAAATCTCTCATTCTCACAGGTCAGTGGCTTAACCTCCGTGAGTGGGGGCGGGCAGGAAGTGGGGGGTCCCCCAAATTTCTGGGTGGGCAGAAATTCAGGCTGAGGCAGGTGCTGGCGGGATTTCAGAGTCAAGAACGCCGCTGGGCCCAGCCCCTGCAGACAGAAGCCTCGTTCTAGTAAAGCGGTCACCATGTTTATCCCTATACAGACCCACGGAATAATTCGGCAGATCCTCTTTAGCTAAACTCTAAGAGTTAAACTTCCTTCAAAACGCACAAGCGCTTTAAATAAAAACTTAATGTAAGTTTTAGACGGCAGCAGCAGCACATCCCCCAATAAGAACAGATCAACCAGTGACTCTGATTAGGGACAAACACATAAGCGAAACGAAGCATTTTGTGATTATTAAAACTGCAATACTTCCTTGACACGACCCCAGTGTTTACTGTCATACTTACTGTAAAGTGAAACAGACACAAGCACAAACTACTGCGACTGCCCAGCCTTCTGACGTGTTACTCGTGATTTTAGTGCCGACTGCTTCTTTCCTGTGCGTCACTGAACAGGCCGGATCGGACCCGAGGGTCTGGACAAACGCCATTCTTCAAATTACCACCGAAATGAGAAAGGCGAGCAGAAGACTCCAGCAAATACATAATTACGGATTAGAGGCAAAGCATCGTTCTGAACAGGAAACAAAAGACGTTTCAAAGCGGACTGCTGGGAGGGCCCCTCAGGGGCGCCGTCCCCACTGCATGCCGGGGAGGAGGAACACGAGCGCCGGTGTGTTCCCGTCACAAAGCCACCCGTTAGCAGCTGTTTCGAGAGCGAGGACAAAATGTCTTTCACTAAGGACACGAAATAAAAGCAGGAACTGTTAGAATAAAGGCATGTAGTATGAGTCAGAATTTCACATTTTGTATTTCCCATCAAATACACTGTCTGGAAGCATGTACCATTTTAAGATGTGTGCACTGCAGCCTTGTTGATTAGCACCAATCCCTGGGATACTTATTTTAAAAATCCCAAAACACTGTAATTCCCAGAATGTCTATTTTTCCCTTTAGGTTTTACAACCGGTCAACATCTAACATCTCTTAACAGCCTGCAGAAAAAGCCTGCGTTACGAACACCAGACTTTCGCAGAGAGGAGAGACCCCCGGCCCTGCCGGCCGAGCCACAGGCACTCATAGCACTGAGCGGTGTCCACACCTCGGGGCTGCCCATCTCCTTCCAGAAGTCTCTAGGTAGACTCTGCACTCCTATACCGGACACAAATGACACGTCTGGGAGCGTTGACATTAAAAATACTACGAGTTTTAATTTAATACTAAAAGAAGAAAATATTTTTTCCTCTTTTGTAGAAACATCTCATGGAGGTTGTCACAGTTACGTCTGAAGCAGGGACGTGACACGGGGAGCTGGAATACTTGACGTCCTCAGACACGGTCAGGAGTCGGAGCAGGAAATGGGACGACCTGGGAGTCGTTAAAATAAGTCACAATTATTAACTTATGAGAGTCACCGGACCTTTCGATATATTAAAACCAATTTTAGTCTTGGCTTCAATCTCTCAAAAATAACAGCTTTAGGAAAATGTTGTCAATATGCAGGGGAGCTAATCGGCGGGGCACAGATGTGCAGCTGTGTGTTGAGGACGCCGCCGCTGGCCATGCGCTCAGACGCTCAGCTTCTGCTGGTCATTTAAGCTCCCGGAGCCACAGGCAGCGCCAGGCCACGGTCTGGGATTAAAGCCCAACGCGGCCCAGCAAGACCCTTTTCCCCAGGCTCCAGAAGAAGTCGTTCTGTTCCCAAAAACAAGAGGGCATTGGTTCAAGCCGCTTTGGCCAAGGCTCTCGGACAGTAAGCGGTCCTCACTGGGTCGGGAGTGGGGCTGACACTCATCTCCAAACGACTGAAACCTCGGCCTCGGTCATTTTGAAGATATGCCCTAGTCCCTGGAGACAGACGACGCCCTCCAAAGGGGTCCCCGGGGCGCCGGGTGCAGTCGCGAAGAGCACCTCTCTTCCGCTCAGGAGTCCGGGCCGCTCCGTCTCCCGCCACCGTCAGAACACAGGAGAGTCGCAGAAAGGGCAGGGGCTTTGCAGCAGCCTCTTGATCCAGTCGGGATCTGCCGGAGGAAGACAAGTGGGCTGAGTGTCAGCTCAGAGGCCAGGCAGACGGGACGCGGGGCGGTGGCCGCGGTGTCAGGAGGTGGCGCCCGTGGGCCAAGCACCTCACCCCACCACTCCCGAGGAGGCTGAACTAAACCTGTGGCTCCCAGAACTGAGTGGGATGAAATTTCCTTCAGCAACGACACAGGAAAATAAGGGTGCTGGGTGGGTGCTCAGCGCACTAAATTTACGCAGTTTCAAGGACTGCGTTTTTTCCTGAGACTGGATCCTACATAAATTGTTAACATCAAAATATCCTTTTATACGATTATAGAAATAGTAATTCTAAAAAATGCATTACTTGGAGAAATCGGAGCACGATAATACCGAGGCCACACCTCTTCCCCTTCTAGAAGCCTGGGTCTGGGGCCTGCCCTGCGCCACCGCCCTTCGGCTCCCACGCAGCCCCGGGCTCCCCAAAAAGCTGCACGTGGCTCAACGCAAAGTCAGCTGGTGGGTGTGTGTTTTTTAAATCTGTTCCAATCTTTTCCTGATTTTCTGCCCAAATAACATACTAATTTTCAGTTGCAATGGGTGTTTATAAATTCCCCCAAATTTGTTTCAAAATAATCCAGTAAGAGGGGGGAAGAGAGTGGGGACTACTGTACTTTTGTATGTGATTGCATTTTCTAGAATAAAAACTTAGAATACAAGCTGCCAACACACCGACTTCGCAGAACTGGAAAGTGTTAACGTCAGCCAGTTAAGGTAAAAAATAAAGAACCAGGGTGTACTGTATGAAGAACGTTTCCGCTTTACTTCCCTGCAGGCAGAGCCCCCCTCACACGCATGGAAGTGTCCACGCGTGTCTGCGCTCAGCTCGTTCGGTTGGAGTGTGATGTTAATGAACCTTGGGTCACAAATGACGTCACGTGGCATTGACCTCACTAATCCCTTGCCTACATCTTATTTCCAGTGAGTTATCTCAGAAATGTGGGCTTTGTCACCAGGCCGTTGGAAAAGAATAAAGATCAACCAGAAAAAAGCCCCATCGTGGCTCCAGAAGAGTAACTCCAAGTGCGCACCCTGTCGCTGGTTTGGCTATGCTGGCCTCGTATACCCGACCACCTGCAGAATTTTCATTCAAATGTAATCTGTACGTGCCAAGTAAGACAAGCTCCGACATTTTTTTGAATGAATCATTTGTTTGCAGTGACAGAACAGCAAACTTACTTCCTAAAATGCAATATATACTTTAACGTGACATTGTTTTTTGCCACGCCTACAGCACCTGGTCTTCCTGGGTGGTCTCCCATCCAAGTACTAACCAGGCCCCACCCTGCTTAGCTTCCGAGATCAGATGGGATCGGGCTTGTTCAGGGTGGCATGGCCGTAGACAACATGACCTTTACGAAGGCCGTTTTTAGCGAGTTGCGGCTTCGTGCTGACACCAGGCGCCACGGGACGAGCCTCTCACTGCCCGGTGGCCTCAGACTGAGCGGCGAGGAGCCCAACTGGCCACCGGCCACCGTGCAGCTGGCGCTCAGCCTCCCGAGGCGGGGACGCTCACCTTCGGGGGCAGGGTGGCGCGCGATGCTGTCGTGGAGCAGACACCTCCGGTAGATCAAGCTCTGGCAGGACTGGTAGGTTAAGAAGCACCTGGGAGACAGACAGACGCGCTCGTCAGCTCTACGGACGCCCGGAGGGAGGGCAGCGTGGCGCCGCGGGTGACTCGCCCAGACCGCTGCCCTCCGCCACACGCTAAGGAAGCCAACGGCAAAACGGTCCACACGCTTGCGCGACAGCGTGTCCCTCTGCATAGCACGGTGATAGACCCGCGCCGCCCACGCTGCGAAGGAGAGGCGCGACATGCAACGTCCTCTCCGACCGGCCCTGCGGCCCCTTTCGGGCCGTCAGCAGCTCTGGGACACAATTCCGTCCGCCCGAACCCGCCTGACTCTGAGCGTTCGGCACGTGAAAGACATCGACCCGTGTTATAGCGACAGTTATTCTTGGCAGTGGTTTGTAGGATCAGGTGTAAGAACCTGAGTCCAGTGGGGAAAGCCGCAGGCTACGGATGTAGACGACGAAAGAAGGGACGGGACCAAACGCCCACAGGTTCCACGCCACCCAGTGGCTCGTCCCTGAGCACCCCCAGGACCAGGCCCGGCGGGGACGGTGGAAGGCCCCGAGGCGGGGGTGTGCACTGGGTGCTGCGGGGAAGGTTTCTAAGTTCAGCGACCAAGGAGCATAAAAATGCAAAGAGGAGGGAGACACCACGCAGGTTCGCTTTGGGTAAAGACTCGGGTGTCCAGGAGAGACGGCTCCCCTGGGGCGAGGGCCCTTCTCACATGGAGAAACAAGGTGCTCTGGCCCCGACTCCAAGCAGCAAAAACGAAAACACCTTGTTACCGCGCTTGTCTGGGAGACGGTAACACGTGGCGGCTACGTAGGGGCACTCGGGCCCGCGGGCTACGTTCTGGCTCTGTCACCAACACCTCTGTGACGGAGCAAATTACTTAACCCCCCAGGCGCCTGCTTCCACCTGTAAGTACAGAACTGACGGCGTTAGCACTCCGGAGAGTCAAAGTCCACTGTCCCTACAAGCGCGGATCCTACTCTCCCCTGGAAACGCCTGAGCGGTCAGATTAGAAACAGCGTGGCAACGCGATAAACACTGGAAAATGATCCACGATCCATCCGTAAGGGAGCAAACGATGCAACATCCACACGTGGGAAACCCGACAGCCATCAGGAATGGGACGTGTGAACTGCTGTGGGAAGCTTGACGAGAGAAATGGCGAGGTGTGGGGCAGTGTGTGCATCGCGATCCTGTTCTGGTTAAAAATAAATTTAAAAATTAACAGTGCCTACTATGTACTAAGCATCATTCCTGAAACAGTCATGAAAAATACAAACATTTCCTGTCCTCATACAGCCTCCCATTAGACGAGGGAGAAAAACAAGAAGTAAAAAATATATTAAATGGTGATAATTGCTAGATACGAAAAAGCAAGGAAGAGCGACCGAGAGGGGACGGGTGTCAGCAGGGTGGTATTTTCAGGTAGCGCAGACAGAAAGGCTTGACTGACGAAGGGACACTTGAGGGAGCCACGTGGACACCTGCTGGGAGAGCATTCCAGGACGAGAGACCGGCCAGCGTGGCCCTCCAGAAGTGGGAGGGGTGCCTCGTGTACCTGGGGGACAATGACGCCGGTGCGCCTGGAGTGAAGTGAGCAGGACAGAAAGCTAAGAGATGAGGCCGGGGTGACGGGGGCCGGCTGTGCAGCCTCGGTCACCGAGGAGATTCTACTTTTACTCATCAGAAACGGAGAGCCACCGGAAGGTTCTGAACAGAGGGTGACATGACCTGACAAGGCCTTACCAGGATCATAATCAGGGCGAAACTGAAAACAGGCTGTGGGGGACACAGATGGAAGGCGAAGACCAGGGAACTGTGATAAACTGGGCAAGAGACGATGGCGTGCTGGACCAGGCCAGTGGAGGTGGCGAGCAAGGCTGGTCAGATCTGCAAGGCCTGTGAAACCTCCAAGCCGACATACTGAGGAGACGGTGAGGTACGTGAGTCTGGACTGCGGGGGAGAAATTCGGGCTAAAGCTCTATGTTTAAGTCACCAGTGTACCGAGGATACGCAACCGCCAAGGCGGTGCCGGCAGAAGAAACACAGGTCCCAAGGTGGACGTCGGGAGTGAAGCGGAGTCAGCAAAGACAACGAGGAGCGGAGAGTCAGAGGCAGGAAGGGAAGCGGGGGCCGTGGCCAGGACCGGGGTGAAGTGCTTCGAGGAGCCACTGCGTCCGTAAAAGGAGGACACGCCGCGGTCCCCTCTGAGAGGGGCACTGAGGGCAGACGGGAGGAAGACGTCTACCTTCCATTATGAAGTTCGACGAAGTACATGAGCGCTTTTATGGTCCACTCACTTCAACGGGTATTACTTTTAGAATAATAATTTTTCAGAATTTAATGCTACTTTAAAGGAAAACAGTATTACCACAATCAACGCCTACGTCAATCAAGGAGCAAGAACTGCCGTCAAAGGATGCCTTGCTTTTATCAGACTGGAGAAAAAAGTCAGGGCCACGGTTAATAACAGCAGCTTTTCACCAGCCTAAGGGCCCAGGCGGCGCACATCTTGGATAAACACAGCGCTTCGTGCCACACAGAACTGCTGAATGAGCAGAAGCAGGATGTGACTTAAACGACTTACCGAAGCCAAATGTGGCCATTGGAACAGACGGCCTGCTTGCGGTCTGTGAACGGCAAGATCTCTTTACACAAACTGCAGTGCTCGGGGAAAGTCTGTTTGTTCATCTTCTTTGAGATGTGTCCAATCAGCACCTGGCGAGACAAAAGCAGCGGCAACATTTAGCGGGCCGGGCCGGGCCGGGCCTCCCGCAGAAAGCCCAGTGATGCACAGGAGGGGGACGATCGGGCAGCCCTGTGCCCGGGACGGGGGCTCTGCGTTTCCGTCACGCTCTCTGAAGTCAAGATCTCTTTACACAAACTGCAGTGCTCGGGGAAAGTCTGTTTGTTCATCTTCTTTGAGATGTGTCCAATCAGCACCTGGCGAGACAAAAGCGGCGGCAACGTTTAGCGGGCCGGGCCGGGCCGGGCCTCCCGCAGAAAGCCCAGTGATGCACAGGAGGGGGACGATCGGGCAGCCCTGTGCCCGGGACGGGGGCTCTGCGCTTCCGTCACGCTCTCTGAAGTGTAAAGAGGCCTCCGACATGTGTCGGCTGGCTGGGAAGAGAAAGTCCTTCAGGGGCCCTGTGACGACAGGGTGGGCCGGAAGCACTAAAGGAAAAACTCTTCTGAAAACCAAGATCTTGTTACTTGCCTTGGTTTAGCTGCTTCTGAAACAAGGACTTCACAGTTCTGTTAGAAGACAAAATATTTAGCTATTACTTACAACGTTTCGGCTTTAAGAAGGAGAAGCATCATGACAGACAAAAGATGGCATGAAACGCTAACTTTGTGGGATTGCCCAAATGTCTACTCTTCAAGAAAGGCTTACGAAGTAAAAACATAATTGGGATATAAAAGCACTAGCTTCGCCTCCTGACACCCAGAGACCCCTGACGGACCTGGTCCGAGAGCCCACAGTCCGGGAGCCACCAACCCCACGGCAGGGTCCGCGGCACGAGTGGGGAGGGGTGGGGGAGGGACGAGCTGGCTCCAGGTCTCCCGAATTTTAGCGGCTGTTAGCTCGAAGGAAGGCTCCCCGAGGGCAGAGTCTGGGCAGCACTGAGCCGCACAGAGTTAAGGAGTGTTTTCTGTCGGAGCTCTCGGGACCCTAGGAGGACAGTGGCCCAGGGAACCTCTCGGAGGGCTGTGGTGGGCGCAGCATCCCCAAGCCTGGAACCCTAGTGCTGTCAGGGAACTTGAATTCTGGGGAATACAGTTTGGGTTACACGGTACGATTGTTCAAGTGCCAAAGGCTACACGTATTTTTTTGTAAAAACAGCGTGAGCGATACGTTTACCATATGTGCCCTTCTTGACTAACTCAGAAGTCTCGAGTCCTTTCCAATGGAAACAATCCCCCCTCTCGAGCCCCCAACTCACCGCCCCCTAAAAAAAAAACCTTCTGCAAACAGCAAGGGACGGGAGCACCGGCGTCACGCGTCTAGGGCTGTGACTGCCCGGTCACACACTACTCTCCTCAGCGCAGGCCCCTTGAGCTCATCCTCGGCCTGGAAACCTCGTCTTGCAAACCTTGCGTGTCATTCGCGGCCACCGCGAGAGGAAGAACAGAAACCCCGCGTGCGACATGAACGCGTCCTCCGCACCAGCCCGTGTCTCCCTCCCGTTTCCTCCCCAGCACCTCACGCCAAGCGACCACCGAACAACACGGCAAAGCGAAAGCTGAGCTTCAGAGCTTCAGGTCGCTTCTTGCCACGGCTTCGGCTTTCTCGTCGGTCAAACACCTACCCGTGCGGTCCGGTCGTCATAGTCCTCGTCGGACATTAGGAAGTTGCAGAGGCCCCTGGTGGGGATGCTGGTGTTCTCGGTGATCCAGGTGTGCAGGTACACCTCTCCTAGGACTCGCTTCATGTGCTCCCTGGTCAGGTGCACTTCCACGGCTTCGATTTTCCCTTGGATTTCGAGGAGTTTCTCTTCCATCGGCTCGCGGCCTCCGGCATCTCCGGACTGGGCGAGGGGGTCATCTGTGGGGTCCTCTGGGTCCCCTTCTTTGCTCCTCTCCTGATGGGCCTGCCTAGTCACCTGTTTGGAGGAAGTGCCCTCTTGCTGTTCACCCTCGGCCGTGCCCGGCCCAGGCGAGTCGACCAGTAAGCTTTTTGAGTCCTCGTGGGTGGGCTTCCATAAGGCTTCCGAAGGGGTTTTCTGCATTGACTGGTAGAGAATCCTCAGGAGGAAGAGTTTGAAGCGCCAGAAGTAGGTGGCCCCGCTGCTCTCGATCTTTTTTTCCAGAGCTTCTTGTAAAAACTGAGGGATATGTTTATCTTTTAAGATCTTCCAGCGTACGAGGTCTATTAAATCCACCTGCTTAAAGAGATTTTGAACTGAAGACTCCAGGAGCTGAGCAGCTGCCTCTTCGAAGGTTTTGAGGGTGACGAACTGGACCTGGTAGTTTTTGTTCACGGGATGCAGGCCGTTGACCATGCCCTCCGTGGTGATGACGGCCAGATACGCGCCGCACGGGCTCACCGCTATCCCGTGCGTCCTCACCGAGCCAAACACGTCCGAGAGCTTAATCAACTGGTGTTCGAACTTCAGCGCGACGTCTGTGAAAATGGGAATCAGCTGCCTCACCTTCCCGTCGCTGGAACAAGTATACACTGTGCCGTTCTGCTTGTCCGCAGTCATGGAGACGATGGGCAGGGAGTGAAGGCCCGTGACGTGGGAATTGTGAACGTTCAGACCTGCTTTGGAGATGAGCAGGAGACACCAGAACACGTAGGGTCCTCTCGCGGCCACCACTAGGCTGCAGCTGCACTTCTGGTACGGGTGATAGAGCGGGACACACTTTATGCTGTGCACCGGCAGCTGGTCCATCTCCTTCCACAAGACGACGGGCTGCCTCAAAGTGAAGTAGCCTTTCACCGCTTTGAGGTTGACAGGGAGAATTTTCACAGGTCCGAAGGCACTCCCCACGATAAGGCCGCTCATTTTCCGATTATTGTGCTCGTATTCCCACCAGAACAAGACACTGGGAGAGCTGATTCCTGACTCGATCGTGTTGCACGAAGAGATGGATTCCTTGCCTACAAACGGCAGCTGGAACTGCCACACGGCAATGTCGCCGTTTTCGAAGAGGACTGCCAGGAGCACACTGCCCACGTCCCGGCACTCGTTATTGTGCTTGACCTGCTGAGTGGTGCAGATGGCCGACCACTCCATCCTGACTGCCGTCTGCATGCTGTGTCTCCTCTGAAACTCGGCAAAATCGCCCAGGTTCCCTTCCGGAGCCTCGCTTTTAGAGAGCCTGTAACGGGTCTCATGAAGACGTTCTCCATACAGCTCAGTCAGGTCGACCAGCTGGACCCACTGCAGCCTGTTGAGGTTAGCCTGGACGGTCAGGCGGTTGTCCATGGTCAGCGCTGCCAAGAGGCACCTGCCGTTAGCATCGCAGCCCATGGGGGACCAGCTTGTGTATTTGAATCCTCTCATCGGTGGCAAAGCCTTTCCCTCGGGGTTGAACACCCGATCCAGCATGAAAGTCTGACTGACCGCGGGGTCTTTAGAGGTGGCGAATTTCTCCTTACACTCGGCGACTTCTGCTTTTGAGCCAACCTGTAAACGAGATGTAAAAACTATCAGATAAATGTTTCTCTCCAGGAATATAGTTACATTATTACTTAGGGTGTATCCACTGATTCACATTAATCTATCCGGTAATTTTGTATCAATTCTGTTAATTTGGGTATGACACGCACTTGAAAGATCAAGTATGTGTCTAAAATTAAATGAAAATTTACTCAGAAAATGGTGATATTTTTTAAAGGATCGGAATAAAAGTCCTTATTATTCATAGCCTGGTTCCCACCTTCTTTTTAGAATCGACGTTAGCAACAAGGACAATAGAGGTGTACTTGATTCATAAGAGTCAACAGGGCATTTGGCTGAACTAGTCACAAAAGTAATAAAGGTGTTAAAATTCACAAAAATATACATTTCTGATACAACTAGATATTTGGGTATTTACAATATCTTGGCAACACAGATGCAAACTCGAAGTTTTCTATCTAAAATTTCACATACGAATTATGCTGAAAGCTGCCCAACTGCTTCGTCCACTGTTTCTATATAGTAACGTCCACTCCAGTGAGAGAATCTGTCACCCCTGAACAGTCCCGCCCCAGCCTTCCGTGGCTCCCTTGCCTGGGATGCTCTTTCTTCCTATCAAATCTCAACCATCCTACAGGCCTCTGAGATCATGCTAGCTTTCCTTCATCTCTCCCTCTTCCAAGTTCGTAACATACATCATCGGTGCTATTTACTTGGTGCCTAGCTGAGCGATGGTGAGTTCTTTAAAGATGGAGGAAGAAATAAATGACTAAAAGAAAGAGGTCCATAAGAAAACAGCCAGGAAGCCTAAAGCCGAAAAAAGAGCAGAGGTCAACTAAGACGTGGTTTCTGCTATGCCAGAAGCAAGAATGCGCGCGAGAGATGGACCGCAGAGAAAGAGGGCAGTCAGCTCCTCTCTGCTTGTCCATTCCCTTTTACGTAGATCTGCCAACCAGAAAGGGTAGTTAAAAAAACATAGTTAAAAAGGGACTTGAGCCTAAGACATCTACGGATATGATAAAAGTCACTTTAAATGAGTTTGTTTCCTAGCCCAGGGGAATTTCACACTCCAGGACACAAAGAACTTGGAAGATGTAGGACTCAGAATCCCTAACCAAATTCCTTGATAAAGCTTTGGCCAACTGAGAATGTGTTAGAAAACCAGGGCGAAACAAATCGTTTAAAAAATATCCCCCGAATGGGAAATAGATAACAAAAACCACAGACCATTAAGCAGGATAGAAAATGCTTCAGTGTATTCACAAATGAACGGTTGTGTAGACAGCAGTGACCATTAGAAACTAGCACAGGATAACTGGAAAAACCTAATCTTATTCTCTTTTCTGCTGGAGCTGATTAATGACAGAATAAGCAGGTATATAAAATGAAAGTTGTCCAACAAACGAATCAGATAACTAACTTTTCCTAAAGTGTATCACACAGACAACTACTCTCCTACATTGTCCCTTGAAAAAGAGTTCTGTGACTACATACATCATTGCCCCTGAAGAGTCACAGGAGCGCATTAAATGCCTTGGCCAGGGAGCTACTGTAGAGACTTACATTAACCAGATTACCCAAATGTAAAAAACAAAAACAAAAACAAAAAAAAACACCTTTTTTGCGGGTGCCATCCTAAAGAATACTCCGGAAATGGTGTCTTGGGCAGAATACCTTGATTTTAGAAAAGCATTTTAGGGTTGTCTCTCGGGGACACTAGGGACATGCTGGAGAAACACAGTCTCGAAATTCCGATGACAGGTGCAGCTGGCTAGCCAGTTAATCAAATAATGCTGATGAAAGCCCGGAGCTTTGTATGCTACGTAAAATTTAAAAGATGACACAGTCAAGCCCGACATAATGCCTGAAACCTGTGCGCCGCTGCCTGACTGCCTAGGGTCAAATCCTCACTCTCTCACACACGCGCTCTGGGACCCTGCACGAACTGCTTAAACCTCTGCCCCTAATTTTCTCACTTACAAAGAAAAAATAATAATACATGTGTCATAGAGATAGGAAGATTAAACAAAATCAATATACGTAAAGCATATATTAATAAGTGCTCAATAAATGTTAGCTATGATGACTACTTATACTCTGAGGATTAAGCAAATGTTAATGAGACCTAGGAAAAGCATGTAAAATGCAGGGTAGATATAAAGGTATCCACCAAATGAAGAGTAGGTACAAAACTGTTCACCAAATCCTGTAATATTGTAGGTAAATAAGAATAAGTGAATTCACTACATAGAAAAGCTACCATAGAATTACAAGTACACTTACAGAATTTATAACCCAAAGCAGCACCACAGGATGAAATAAAAGAAGCTCAAGCAATTCCTGGCCCCACTGATGGCAGGAATTCTTTACAGGATGGTGAGCAGAGTGGATCTGGAGCAGCAGGGAAATTCCTCATGGTTTTGTGTGAGTAATTTCTAGTATATTAGTTTGAATGAGCCTATTGCACCTCCCCGCAACTCTCCATATCACAAAACTAGTTAACAAATTAAAACATGTACCCAGATGCCCAAGGAACATACGCTTGAGTCCAGCTCCCAGAAGCCCACCCCTAGCCAATCATTTAATTACATATTATCCCGTTTCTAGTTGGCCACTGTTACTACTGATTGCTACATACTTTATAAACACCTAACAAATAAAAACTCACTTAAAGCTATTAGACGGCAAGCTTCTTGAAGGCAAGAATATGAGTCCAAAGACAGGCAATAGTTACTAATTTAATGTAGTAGATGGAATACTTGCTAATGCTCCAATGATTGATACACAACAAAAGTACTTACGCATATATTATTAGAATTTGTAACTGTCAACAACTAGGTGATTCACTAACCAGCAGCCCAATGGGAAGAAAACTTGCAACTTATTCTTAAATCATGATTTTATTGCTTTTGAGGTTTATATCATATAACCTCAGTACCCAGGACAGTAACTTGAAAATAGTGGATATGTGAACTATTATATAACTGCATATTTTCCTGAAATTCATAATCTAAATAACAGAATCATAGCAAAAGCTTCAAAGGGGTTTAACAGCTAGCCCTCTAGCAGTGCTACACACTAAAACTGTGATCCCAGTTGCAGAATGTCCATTCTCTGTGTGACAGCAAAGGCAGGCTGGACAGCACTGAGAAGATTTAAATCCCCACGGACTGTCAATGGGTAGAGGTATCAAAGGACTGATGTCGACTTTTTACATCCCTACCGTTTCACCAGTTTTATCCCAGGGGTCTCTTCTAGGATCGCAGAGACAAGTCTGCGTTCATTTACCAGGCGGTCCTAGTCTACTAAGACTGCCGATTGATGGTTCGCGTGATGCATAACCCAAAGAACGGAAGGGGAAGATGCCACTAAGTAACTTGAGGCGAGCTATCTGTCAATGATGAGGGGGCTATATGAATATTTCTTAATAATGTTAGGCGGTTGTGGAACCAACGATGGAGTCAAATTTTTATCACAATATAATGGATATCTTCATAGTCACAGCCACAGCGTTAATCTAGACTCTTATTCCTTCATGCTGGTATGACTGTATTTTTTACCTTGAGTATTTACAGTGTCTGTTTATGTGTGTACGTGTGTACATGCATAAATATCCACATGTGTAATTTCATCTTCCAAAAGATCTAAACATGATGGGTTTCATTATTCTTTTTTACGGATAGGCCTATCTTGCTATCTTGTGCCAAAGCCCAATCTCTTAACTGCTATTTTATATTGACCCCAACAGTCATCTTCTTGCCTGCAGTTCAGCCAGATTCATACTCCTGAACCAGTTAGGCCAATCCACACTTAAGAAACTTTAACGGCACCTTAGCACTTTCTACATCGAAGCCAGCTTCCTCAGACTGACCTTCAAGGTTCCCGAACTGGCCTCGCCTTACTTTCTCCAACTCTCTAGGAGAGCTACGTGAACTCACCTGTCGACTCATCATCACTTACACCAAAAATAGTACATTATGTTCAGGACTTAAATATGCATGTATGTGCATGAGACAGAAAGCTCACCTGGATGACCCTTCCTCCCTCCCTCTCATAACCCAACACTACCTTGTTTCAGGCTGCTGCAAATTTGCCACCAGATAAGCTCCCCTGATAACAGTGCCTCCCCTCACTGTTCCTTCCTTCCTTTCGATTCTCTCTGTGATAGTATCGAACCTCTACTGTATTGACACACAGACTTAAATTTTCTCTAGTTGATATACATAAACAGTAAGTTCCTTTTCGGCAGAAGATACACCTTGGAACACCCCTTCCTTCGGCCTCCCTTCTTCAGGGCTTCTTAACTTCATAGCATCAACAGCATCTGTTCACCTCATTCGGTTAAACTGGAACCAACCTGATCGTATCTTCTCCGAGAAGATCTTAGAGGATCTAAGAAGATCATACAAGTTTACCAATGATCTAATTGAACACCAAGTTGTCTGTTTAAAACTTAAGATTCACAGAGTAAATTTTTTTTTTTAAACTTCACTTTCACATAAGTATGTTCTCTGAAAATAGATACATCACTTCACAGGGTCTGTCACTACCTGATATAACGTTGTTATTTGTCAACGCAGTGGTATTTAAGTATCTATTGAATGAGTGAATATACATTTTTGATAGATCACACACATGCACACGGATCTTTAAAGGACATATTTAAAGTTTTTATACTGTACTTCTAAACCACGAAAATGAACGATATGACTTACCAATTTAAACAAATGGACTTGAAAGTGATATTAAAACAGTGAAACTTTGGGAACCCTAATGTTCTGACACCAAACTTAGTGTGTATGAAGCAGAAAGCACTACATCTACAGAGATTTTGGACTTGAAGTTTAAGAACTGCCTTTATTTCCAGAAGCTTTATTTTTCATTCTACATCCCAAATATTTTTACCTATTAAGGAAAAACTGGAGTACAAACTCCGAGATCCAGTATTTGCCCATCTGCCCAAGATGAGAACCATTCCTAATAAAGTCGCTGGAACAGTTAAGACAATGGAAAGGACCAAGTTTTCTTCTCCAAAGCAAAAGAGGAGCAAAAGGAAGGTACATAACGGTGAACAAAGCCAGCCAAGGGCCTCGGGGAGTCAGTCCCAGACAATAGGAGCTCGGGTGGAGGCAGGTCTGGGGCTGGGTCAACAGGGGGTGGAGTCTTAGAAAGCACCGCCACCGAGAGTAATCCGCGCCAGCAGCCTGCCAGATGCGGGGAAAGGAGACTAGGCTACGAGGGGACCTCCCAGTTACACGGGTGTGTTGGGAGGGGGTGCGTGGTCCGGAACACTGGGCACAATAGCTGCAAGGGTTTGTGTTCGTTTTGTCAGCTACCGCAACCCGAGCCGCTTAACCCCTACGTGCTGGGAGCGAGGAGCGGGATCCCGGGACTCCCCAGGGGACGGTGCCGCGGCCGGGGGAGGCGGGCAGGGCTGGGGCCCGGGCTGACTCACTTTGAGAAGGCAGCTGTTGAGAGGGGCGGGCACTGAGGTGCGATGGATGACCAGGTCCTGGCCCGGATTGTGCACGTCGCAGATGAGCTCCAGCACGGCGATGCTGCGGGCCGTGGACACGGACACGCGGTGGTCTTCGGACCAGGCCAGCGGCTCCAGGCCGCTCGCTGCATACTGCAGCTTCACGGCCGGGTCCCGCCGAGTCACCAGGAGGCGGAACGCGGCGCTGGGCCCGGGGATCGCGTCGGCCGCCGGCTCCTTCCCGCCCGCGTCGCCCTCCTCCTCCTCGGCCGGCGCAGGCCCGTCGGCCGCGGGCCCCACCCGGGCCTTGTCGGCCGCGTTCATCTCCAGTCCGATGCAGACGCCGGATCCCCCCGGCGCGCCAATCCCGCGTCGCCGCCACCGGCCCCCCAGCGCCCTCCGCGGCGGTTCTTTTCCCCTCAGGCCCGGAGCGCCGCGGAGCCTGGAAGGACCCCGCCGTTGCTAGGCGACCCAGCCTTGCCAGGTGGCTAAGGCGCCGCCTGTCTAGAAAACGCGAGACCTCTGCGGGCCGGACCGAGGCGCCGGGCTCTGTGTCCCGGTGACCAAGCCCCAGACCCTTTCGATGACCTCCCCGAACCGCTGAAGTGCCGGGGAAACAGTAACCCGGCAGCAATCGAAGGAAATGTTGGTTAGATGGCGCACGGCCTCTTGTTCCTCGGAGGAGTCCTAACAACTTCACAAGCGTGAACTCAGGGGTTGAGTGTCACTTGGCGTTCCCTGCCCCAGGCCACGCCACGAGGGACGCCGAGCGGGGCCCCGGCCCGCGTGGGGGCGGCGGGACCCGGAAGGGGAGCGGCCGCAGGAGCCGGCGGGGCAGCTACGCGGGGTCCTCGCGCGCTTCCCACGTGGGCTCGGGCGGAGACGCGGTCTCGGCCCGCGCGGTCCAGACGTACTTGGCTCGCCTGCGTGTGGCCGCGGTTGCGCGTCGACCATGGCGGTTACCGACGGATTGCTTCTCCACCTTTCCGAGCCCCCAGCCGCCGCCGCCGCCTTCAGGACGTTCTCCAGACCCCGCGTGGCCCAGGCGAGGCGGGTGAGTTCTGACTCGGCCTCGGGTCCGTCTGCACCCACCGGGCCCGGCCCGCGGCGCGCCGCTAGCTGCCGCCTTACCTCTGAATCGGCTTTGGAATCATTTTCGGGCTTAAGAGGGGAAAGTCAGACGTCGGGCAGCTTCTGGGAGTCGCTGAGCGACGTGTCCGAGAACGGAAGCCCCTCCCCCTCCTCCCGCCTTCCGCCCCCCCTCGCCCGCCACGCCCCGGCCCCGCCGAGGTGTCTTTGGAGCGAGCGGAGCGGGTGTCACCGGGACTAGGGCTTGCTCCGGCTGTGGTCGGAGGAGGACTCGAAAGGAAGGAACTGGATAGAGGCCGTTTCCCGGAGAAGTTAGGAACTGACGCTTGGGCGCGAGTCCCTGCCCCGTCACTTGGTAGCCACACCTTTTCTCTCGGCCACCGTTTCCTCGACCGTAAGGGTCGTCTGTTTCAGGAATGAGGACTAGAGACTAGGAATATCTTTTGGGAGCTTTCAGAAATGGCATAGATTTCATCCGTGTGCAGTCGAAGGGGGAAAGAAAATGCAACTCAGCAATATAATCCCTCACTAGGAAGGGGAAGGAAGCCTTAAACTTGATCCAAGCCAGAGCTCAGAACGGGCTCCTAGAATGATCGATTTATCTCCTAGAAAAGGGGCGGGCTACAGGGCAGAAAATCTGTTGTAAAGTCACGTTACCTCAGAGACCAGGAAGGATGCGGTCTCCTGCCAAGGAAGTTTTGTGCGTCTGTATGTGTGTGTTTTCTTGTAAAAGCAACAGATAGTTCCATGGAAAAGTTAATTGCCAAAATTCAGTACAGCCAGTGTGTTAAGCCGAAATCCCTTGAGATCATAGACGCTAACACACAGTCTCTGGATTCTCTTTGCTGAATTTTTCAGTGACAAGCTTTAGGATTTAGAAGCTTGGGAGTAAGGAGTTTTCAGCTAGCCAATGGCGTCGCGGCATCTCTGCGGGAGGGGGAAGGGGAGTCCAGAAGAGCCAGTGGGAGCACGGAATTGGAATAGGACAGACCTAGGATTAGATGGCAGCCCTGCCTCACATTAGCCTTGTGACCTTGAGGAAGTTACTTCACCTCTCTGATCTTCACTTTTCCTAGCCATAAAATAATAATGATAATTTATTTTTACTTCATATAAGGTTCTCTGATCTTCACTTTTCCTAGCCATAAAATAATGCTTGTCATTTATTCATATAAAGTTATTATGAGCATTAAATGAGATAATCGTAAAGATTGCACATTTTCAGACCCATAGAGGCACTTAATGCCAATGATATAAATAAATTCGCATTGGCTTCATTTTGTGTAATAGAATTGCTACATCGGGAGGTCAGTGGGGGTGCTTGTGCCATATACCTGCCTAGTAACTAACATGTAGGAAGTACTTACTGAAACTTTGTTAAATGAATTGAATAAATAAACATAGGGTATCTAGTTTTATGAGCTTGAACTATTGTGTCAAAAGGGTGTTAATTAATGAGGTTACGACAAGTGTCTGCAGTGGCCTTGTCTGCATCTACGTTTTCGTTTGTATCTTGAATGAGAACTATGGATATGTTGATCAAATTTGCCAGTAGCCTGAACTTGGGATGGGTGGCTGATATACTGGATTCGGGAAGACTTTGACAGCTTAAATTATGCTATATCTAATACTGCAGAATATTTTCTTTCTAAAAATGTTCTCTGGTTATTAAATTAATACAAATTTATTGTAGGAAATTTGGGGTGTAGATTAAAAAAAAAAAACAAAAAAACGCCCGTAGCTCCAGTTAACATTTTGGTGTATATCCTTCTGAAAAACAACTCAAAACAGAATAGGGATCGAACTGTTCATGATGTTTTCTAACCAAGCAGGATGCTCTTACTAAGTGGGATCACAGCATTATCCTCAGGAACCCAGGCTGTGGAATCAGAGCCTGGGCAGAGCCCGGACCCCTCAGTGACATGGGACAGATCACCTCACAGTGTTGTCATCTTAGAATGGGGTGATACCAGGACCCGAGCTGATAGGTGTCATAATTCACATAAGTGCTTAGCACTACCGCCTTGCATAGTAACCGCTCAGTTTATTAATACCAAAGACGGCGGGTCTAGACTTCGGGGCTGGATGGGCCCCAGTGATCATCCGCCATAATCCCCTCATCGTACAGCGGCAGGAACAGAGACACAGAGAGAAGTGACTTGCTTAATGTCGTGCAGCTACTTTTTAGCAGATCTAGATATGTCCTTGTGCTTCTCTGCCCAAATGTCACCTCACGAAGCGTTCCTGTCTCCTTGCCTCCCCTCGCCATAGGCCATGGTAGTTTTTCTCATAACGGTGTAGGTTTGGATTTGTGGTTTTACACTTTTGTCTCTTCCACTAGTATGTGACTTACTCGGCTTGTCTTATCTGCCAGCTTTGTACCTTTGGAACTAAGCTACTCGACAGCCGCTAAGTGGTCAGTTTTTTTAACTTATGTGTTGTGGATGCTGGAGACCAGGGTAGTTTTTTTAACTTATGTGTTGTGGATGCTGGAGACGGTTGTGGGGGGGGCGCGGGGGGAGGCTAACAAGTAGTAGAATAGTCCAGATTATGGAAAGGGGTAATTCCATTGTGTCATTTATTCATTTTACAAGTGTTTGTTGAGCACTTACTTTGTGCCAGACACGAGCCAAAGCGGGGATGACTAGGTGGAGAGAGGAGCCGGGAAAGACTGTCCTGAGGACCCAGGGAGCCTAAATCTGCAGCATGAGTATGAGTGTGCCAGCCAAAGGGCAGGCTGGAGACCTAGGTATGGGAATAACTGTGCAAAGGCCCCGAGGAGGGCAGGAGCATGGAATTGAGGAGGACCAGGACAGCCGAGGGTACAGCTGAGACTGGCGAGATGGGCGGAGGCCAGATCCCAGGGTGCTCTGTAGACCAAATGACAGAACCTCGGTTTCAGCCTGAGAGCAATGGTGTGCCCTTCTGTTGTGCCGACATCTGAGCACTTAGCTTTGGAGAGATGTTGACATGGGAATACAAGGGGACCAGGATGATAGGGGTCTAAAGTTTGTGTCCTGTTTGGGGTATTTTGTCTACAGAGGGAGGGAAAAAGGAGTCACATGATGTATGAAGGAATGTTAGGTGCAGGGGAGGTAAGCTTGTTCTGTGTTGCTACAGAAAGCAAACCTCAAGACTCATAAGTAGATGTTCAGGATGGCAGACCTTGCTTGACTATCAGAAGCATCTTCTAAACCCCTAGAATTTGGTCGCCTTGAGGGATAGAGAGCAGTCAGAGGAGGGGTGTGGACAGAAACAGCAAGGCCACCTGCCAGGGAGCCCGTAACGGGAAGGCCGTGCGTGCCGGGAGTGGCCTTTTGGCTCGTTTATGCTCTGAGGGTCTGCAGTTCTGTGAATCAGGTAAAATCTGCACATTTTATTTCCCCTTGTGGACGATTCGGCAGACCTGAAATTTGTCTTCATCTCTGTCTTTAATCTGAAAATTCGTGAAATTGGGACTTTGTAAAAATAAATGTGCAAAATGAAGTTAAGTCAGTACTGATTAATATTAAGTGTCTGAAGTTGCATTTATTACTTGGATACAAGAGTCCTCATGGTTGCCAGGGACAAAGAACTGTCGTTATCGTTAGGTTGGTCTGAAGCTGACAGTCACAACAGGCTGAGGCGTGAAAGCCATCGTTTCAAGCAAAACAACATATTCCAAGAAAACCCCAAACTCCAGAATAACAAGCACTGGCTACTCACAGGATGTTTTTATATTCATGTGCAAATTGGAAGAGAAGGCCAAAAAAATAGAGGACTTGGATGTTTCTTCTCTTAGGGGGAGTTTGGAGGTTGTGCACTTAACCACATTCAGGTCACGGAAATAAGAAGCAACAGGCAAGGGAATAGCGGGTGGTGAAGCCTATAATCGGCGTCAGATGGATGGAAAGGCGAGGAGAGTTGGAAATAATGGTGATGGAAGTGATGGATGGAGCAGAATCCTCGTTCGGAATGGAGACCGCGAGCAGGAATTGTCTGCGAGCCATCTGAACCTGGGGGAGCAGCGTGAGGGGAGAGCGACAGTGATCCAAGCAGTGAAGGTTCCCGCCTCCCCACTGCTGCCCAGTGTAGTCACCCGCGGCTCTGTTGGTAGAGAAAAGACCCCTCGCCGCCCCCCACCCCCCCCATTCTTCTCGTGTGACTGGATTCCTAGGGATATAGACTGACTTCATATGCACACTTCACGGGGCGGGTTCTCTCTTCTCTTAAAACAGCTCCATTTGTTAACATTCAGTCTGAAAAATGTTTCTCCCTTCGCGATCCTCACCCTCATCTCGGTCGAGTTGACAGTTAAGATGGATGGTGAGGTCTAGTGGATGAGTGAGCTGAGATTTTGTGGATTTTTTTTTTTTCCCCCTTTTGGAGAAAAAGGGCCGAGTCAGAGACTCTGATGGCAGGCCCTAAACTGTTGCTTGACATATGGGGCGTAATGATCTCCGCAGGGAGAGACGCAATTCCGTGGGCAGTCAGGCTTCACTCCGAGGTCTGTCTTCATGGGCTGACGCATCTCTGGTTGTTCTTTCCTTTTGGGGACGGCGCAGCAAGCACAGGCCACCAAAAGGAAGTACCAAGCATCCAGCGAGGTTCCCTCAGCGAAGCGGAGGAGCAGGGCATCCTCTCTGCCCGCTAAGAAAACCACCGCGGAAGGAGTGCAGAGGGCTCCCGAGGGGAGGGCGCAGACGGCGTCTTCCCCGCGGAGGTCTTCGGCCGGCGGCAGGGGTAGGAACCAAGAGCAGAAGCCATGCGTTAAGACCTCCTCGTTGTTTAAAAACAACCCCGAGATTCCAGAACTCCACAGGTATGCCTGGGGATGGATGCCCCCTCGGGAACCAGAGGGGCCGGGAGCACTCTGCCTGTGTCTTCGTCATTGGAACTGATGCCTGGATTTCCGTTCCCCATTTGCAGACCCGTCGTACAGAAGGTGCAAGAAAAGGTGTTCTCTTCAGGTGCTTTTCATGACCTGGACCTCCACCCTCATTTGGTAAGTATCTGTCAGTGGTCGGGGCGGTCACCGTTTGTGATGTGTTCATTCATTCAGAATGTCCGTGAGGCAAAACCAAAGAGTGAGCCCAGAGAGCCAGGATACTCTGGGACGGTCATGCGAGCTCACGCTATTGGTCACTGTGGCCTGGCGCCCACTCCCGCCTTCTGTTTTAAAAGACCTTAAAACCTCCCTCACCTGATGCGATTTAGGACTGGGACCCACTTCTCAGGGTTTTTCTGAGTGGCAGATGTCTCAGTGACCGCAGGAGACAGAGCTGGCAGCATGCTGTTAGGGGACGTCTGTAATTACGAAGAGCTGAAGGGAGAAGAGGCTCTTTTAACTTGCACTTTGCGCACACAGGCGCTTTTTTTTTTTTTTTAATACCAGGAATGGGTTTACCAGGCTTATTTATGAATAAGGAGAGAAAAATACATGAACCTTTAGGGAGCTGGGATTTCCTTTGCTCGTGTGGTCACGGCCTACCTCCCCCTTCAGGGGGTGACATCAGCTTGTTTTCCCACCCGCAGGTCTGAGCAGGGTTCGTCAGCCTTGGTACTCTGGACATTTGGGGACGGATAACTGTTTGTTTTGGGGACTGTCCTGTGATCACAGGATGTGTAGCAGCATCCCGAGCCGCCTCTCACTGATGCTACGAGTAATAAAAGCCTGATACCTCTCCAGACGTTGCCACGTGGGAGGTGGGGAGCCGCTCCCAGTTGAGAACCGTGGGTTAGAGGAGCTCAGTTTGACATTGGTGATCAGTTATCCCAATATTTTCTCCAGTTTTGCATCCTTATTTGCATTAAACGTTCTCATACCAAAAGTTGACAGTTAAAGAAAAATAACTTGGTTTTTTTGTTTGTTTGTTTTTCAGATTTCCACAATAAACACAGTCTTAAACATGTTCAACATGACCAGGTAAGAGTTCCAGGCCAGTCTTGATTTTCTTAGGACTTTGAAGTGGTTATGACTGTACGAAACTTGATTTGTCTGGGAGGGGACAGGGCCAGTTTGTGTCTTGGCAGTAGAAGACAGTGCCAGGTTCGTGACTGTTGAGGACTTGACAGCGCTTAGCTACGCGGTTTCCACTTGTTAAATGGAGGGGCCGGGTCCCCATCTCGTTCTGCCCTCGGCTCTAAGCTATCTATAGGATACTGAAACTTTTTAATGTTTTTGTTAATAACGATGATTCCCAGGAAACAGAAACGGAGTAGAAGGTGTGGAGCAGAGGTGAAGCCCCTCTCTGAGTGTGTGCGTTTCTTTACATTTTAACAATCTCGTTTTACTTATGAGCAAGAATATTAAATAAAATAAAAAGCCGCCCCTCACCAATTTTTTGGTTCAGTTTTGTCAACCAAATTTAAATGGTCTCTGTACCCTTCGTCGTTAGTTTCTGAGTGCACATGTGGACACGGGCTTAGTGTGTCCATGATGGTCACATCTTGGCTTCCTGGGCCGCGAGCAGCGGCTCCTGGCTGTGCGGGTGGCTCACAGCTCCCTTTCACTCCTCCGCGCGGGAGCCTTTCCGAAACGTTGCACTGTGTTTCACATTCTCTGTTACGGCAGGCAAGAGGGTATGCGATGTGCTCTCACGGTCACTCCAGGTCGCGGTCACACCTGTTCCCTTTTGTTTTTAATCGGTACGATAGAGTGGCCAGTCCCTGGCTCGCCTCAGCACTCCCAGCTCAGTCCCAGGCACTGAGCCGAGGTTTTGTTCTGATCATCAGAACTTTATCAGCACCTGCGCTCGCACGCGTGGGAAGCTTCTGCGGTGGCAGCCGAAAGGCAAATCTAAGCCTGGGGCGACCACGTTCTGTGTGTCCCGCGTCTCTGCCTGTAACGCGAGCGGGGACCGCGTGTGGGTGACCGCGTGCTCTTTCCTCTGGCCACCGCAGTGTTCAGATGCACAGCATTCCCGTGCTGCTGGAAGGCAGAGATGCCCTCGTGAGATCGCAGACCGGCTCAGGTCAGTCGTCGTCTAACTCCCGCCCTTCTCCCCGCGGTCCCCAGCCCTGGTCGTGCAGTAGCTGATGTAGTAGGGTGTCTGGTGGTGGCTGCTTTGTTTCGTTTGGGGCAGAGGAGGCCACTCGTGCAGTAGCTGATGTAGTAGGGTGTCTGGTGGTGCTTTGTTTCGTTTGGGGCAGGGGAGGCCACGCTTGCCTTTGATTGGAGCCCTGAATTAGTTCAGAGTGGAAGGAAGGGGTCGATCGTCGGGGACACAGTCAGGAACGGTCAGGAAGTAGTCAGGTCCTGCTGTCACTCCTCAGCCTGTCCCCGGGTGTGGCCAGGTCTCTGCTACGGCCAGAGCTGCCCGTCCTCATTCCAGTGGGGGCTGGATATTTTCTGCTGGCGTTAACACGCAGTCTGACGTGAGCACACGCAGGTCAGATGCCGGTCCCTAGCTCAGATGTGGAACGCCGTTTTCGTGTGTTCCAAAACAGCCTGGACTTGCTTTGTGACCCCCTTGTGCCCTTCGTGGCTGGTCAGCTGTCCTCTTCTACCCCCAGGTCAGCCACTGTTCGGGGAGCTGGAAACCCAAAAGTTTTGTCACCCCATCTTCCTCCTTGGTCTTCAGAGGCGGGGGTGGGTTTTGGACTGGCTCCTAACCGTGTCACCACAGAGGACGTTTATTTGGCCACCGAGCTCATTTCACAAGTTGAGATGACTTCAGAGGAGATGCTGTCAATGAGGCAGTCCACAGGTTGACTTGTGTGTCATTTGGAAAAGTGTCACTGTCTCCCCTGTCGGCTGGATAACGGAGCCTGCTGCAGGTCATTTAGAAGTAGCACTGAATTAGGAGTGTGGCAGACAGGTGGCTTCCGTTTCCACCTCTCCTGGGTGTGTGACGTGCACTCTTCCTGTCCCCAGATTCAGTATGACCCAAAGGTAGCAGAGCTTGTTTCCTTTACTGTCGTGGCTTTTCTCACGTCTGAAGGGTCTCTGATTTTAATTGCTTTTGTATTTTTTAAAAAGGTAAAACTCTTGCCTATTGCATCCCTGTGGTCCAGTCCCTTCAAGCAATGAAAACGAAAATACAGGTGAGTGGAAAGTGCCTTTTCCTGTTATCCATCGAGCTTCAGAAACCATCAGCCTGAACTGCAGCAGTGACTCGGGGCTGATAGAGTCGTTTTCACTTAGCGTTGTTTCCTCTCCTCTTTTTAATTCATTTATCACATGACCCCATTGCCTCTAAAGCCTGCGCCCAGAGTAACTGACACACACATTTCACAGTCATCACCGTGAATCTGACAGGGACAGTGTAAGATGCTCCCCGTGTGACGTCGTGCCCGATGCTTTGCCTGTGCAATCCTCTTGAATCTTGAACTGCCTCGGCCACACCGAGTTGTAGGTGTCACTGTTACCGGAGTTTACAAAAAAAAGGAGGCTTGGGGAAGTTCAGTAGCTCCCCAAGGCCGAGTGCTGAGTCCCGGGAACTGGGTCTCCACCTCAGTTCTCTGTGGCACCAGAGACAAAGCTCTTCTGACTAAGAAGGGTGAACGTTACCTTTAAAGCGGCGGTTTACCATGAACAGCAGATGCGAAAACAAGCACCCAGTTACTCAGTTTGATGACTGGCCGCCTTGTTTGTAGCATTTCCTGGAATGTGTCTTTAGTTGTGAACCCCATTTATTTATTTATTTTGTTCGTTTGAAACACAGTTAGTTAGTTAGTACCTGGGCCGTAGGGGCCACTGTTGCATTCCTTGGGCTCCCTGGGAGGCCAGTTGACTGCCGCGTTGCGTAGGCGCGGATGTCATCTCAGAACCAGCCCAGAATCCCACCAGTGCAGCCTCGGGCAGCCTCAGTCGAGGGGAACTGGTGAGGTCCGAGATAGGAAGTGCGGTGGATGCGCAGACAGGTGCGGAAAGCTAATGGGTTCCTTTTTTCCTGCGTCTAGGCATGCAGAAGTAGACGGGTATCGAGCCCACCTGATGTTTGAGTGACAGGATAAATGATACTGTTGAGTTAGGCTAAAACAAATGTCCGCCAGTCCGAACTAGTAGGAAGAAATTATTTAACAAATAAGTAAATGGGCGAAGGGAAGCCTTTCCTTGTAGCAGAATTCCAAAGGGTAAACATAGAAGCGATGGAACTAGACCGTCACCGTGTCACAGCTGCCACAGTCGTGTTTCAGGCAAGAAGCATCAGGGATGCTAAAACGAGTGGCTAAAAGTGATGACAGTGGGGCGTTTACGTAGCCTCACAGCGTCTCCCCGCAAGAGCCTTCTCAGTCACCAAAGGAAAACAGTAACTTTACAGAGGGAAGCCCGGTGTCTCCTCCGTAAGCAGGTGAGCAGAGCTGGCTGTCACCAGTGCTGTGGCGCGTCAACCTCACGTGTCCCCTGCAAGTTTCATGGAGGACACGACATCGCTTCTGGTTTGTTTTGTTGTTTTTGTTTTTGTTTGGCCAAAGATGCATGACCTGACTTTAATCATAAGCAAACATCAGACAAACCCAAATCGAGAAGGGACATTCTACACAGCCATTGGCCAGGACTCTGCCAAAGTATTAAGGCCACAAAAGACAAATACCAAAGGACTAGCCCAGATTAAAAGAGACAAAGGGGTCATGACAGCTAAGTGCAATACACGGTCCCGAATTGGATCCTAGTCTGGAAAAAAGATGTGACTAGGTCAGTTAATGCAATTCGAATAAGGCCTGTAGATTAATTAATAGTATCGAACCAGTGTCAGTTTCGTGGTTCTGATCATTGTACTGTGATTTTGAGAATTGATAAGGAATCTGGGAGAAGGGTTTAAGGGAGTTCTTTGTACTATTTGTGCAATTTTTTTGTAAATCTAAAATTATTTCAAAATGAATAAGTTTAAATTTTATTTTAACTTTATTTAAAAATTTTTTAAATAGGTAGAATAGGAATTCTACACAATCATCCAAATGATGGAACTTTAGCTGTTAAACGTGGTATGTTTTTCAATTAATATTTGTGAGCTTGAGTGTTCTTGCCATGTTAATTGAAGAAAGGCAGGTTACAAATCAGCAGGTGTAATTCTGTCGTTTCACAAATGATAATCCGGGTGTATGTCTGCACATAAAAAGATGAGAAAGACACTTACTAAACTTAATATTGGTTTTGCCTGAAATGGATAAGTGAGAATTTTATTTCCTAAAGGTGACCGAGTTTTTCTTTCCACTGGGCACTTGACAGTGAATTCATACAGAGGGCTTACTTAGCAGTGGTACTTAGTACACAGAGAAGAAATGTAAGTTATTGCAACAATGTAGTGGCGTCTCATGCATTCGTGTACTCCAGGAGAACTCCCTGCTAGTAGAGCGTTGTATTTCATACGGAATTGTAGGGTTCGAGAATGTCTGGGCTATGGTGGGCCCACAGTACTAGCCCACTGTCTCACGTTATAGATCTGTGAACCGAGGACAGCAGAGGTTAGGTCACATTCCCAAGGTGGATGGGGTGTGGGCAGCTCTGTCTCTGTCCTGGGTCTGAGGGTGGCTTCCAACAAACCATTTCAGCCCTGTCCCTCATTGACTTCGCCTGTGGCATGGGGCTAAGAGCGATGCCTTTCTCCTGGGGTGAGGATTAAGTGAGCTCAATGCACGGGTTTCTGGCACCTGGTACTACAACCTACTCATTCATTGTGTTAGCTGTCATCGTCATCAGCGTGGTCCCGTGGCTGGTTTAGAGGGCCGTGATTCGATTTGCTTATAGTCAGAATCATTAACAAGCCATATAGTTTTTCATTCGCTCAAAAATTTTTTAATATCTGTAACAGCTCATTCTATTCGAGACTGAAATATTCTGTAGAAAGTTTTCCAAGCCCAAATTTAATTCACTTATTTCAAGTAATATTCAATACAGACCCTTGGAGTTCATCGTAAAATGATTTGACCTGTAAAAAACATCAGGAGGGAGCAGCAAATTCAAGGCACCCGACAGAGCCTGAAATTACTCAGGCGACGGAGTGAGAGTGGGCGGCTTTTCTGTGTTTTCGCTCTCAGTCATTTTGGCTCTGATATTTTTTAACATCACATCCCTCCTTCTCCACTCGCTTCTGCCCTGCGAGGAATCGATTTTTCTTTCTTCTTCTCTGTGTCATTGGCACCTTTTGAAACGTCAGAATCTCCTACCGTCGCGCTGCGGCACATCGGGGCCCTTGTCCTAACACGTTTACCGTTCCTGGCCTGGGCGTCGGCAATCTCGCAGAGTCGGTGTCGGGCGCGGATGGCTCTAGTTTGAATTCCAGGTCCTTTTCTCTTGTGGGTAAAACATGTCCTCTGCAAAACACGAAAACCATACTTGTGATTAAATTTGCTCTGAAATCTGTGCTCAGCTCCTGCACTAATAGTGTTTTGATTCATTCACTGTCTGCGACCACTTGTGAGGTGCCAGGCACCATTGATTCTGGGGCCTTCACTTCATCAGATTACTTTGTTTTCTATTATTATCATTACTATTATATTTAGATATACTATGCACAGTAAAAAAAAATTTAGAGCGCCAAAAAATAGATCGTGTCATTCAACACCCTATTCTCCCGAGTAGGACAGCGCTCCTGTAAGGTGCAGTGGTCTTTGTCACCGGTCTCTTGTATGTTCTCCCAAGGGTATTCTTTGCACATAAAGCGTACATGAGTACACATAGTTCCTCCGCTCCTTTGATTGACGTTTTTGTTTCGTTGGATGCACAAATGATTGCTTGTTTGCCTGATGTTCGTTGGATGCACGAATGGTTGCTTGTTTGCCTGATGTTCTGTGCCTCGCTTTTGTTCACTTAGTGTTTTGGGGAGAGTTTCTTATCAGTAAGTACCTCGTCTAGCTGCCTTGTTTTTTAATAGCTGCCTAATAGTCCATTGTGCGTGTGTACCATAGATGATCGAATCATCCCTTGTTGGTAGAATTTACATTTGGTAAAACATCGTGCTACAAACAAGACTATTAAGGACACTTTCCGGAAAATGCTTTACAACTTCTTTATGCACACGTGTGAGCATATCTTTTAGAGAAAGTCCTATACATGGAATTTGCTTTTTTATTTGATAACGTCAAAATTGACCTTTCAGGGAGTCAGACCAGCGGCACTGTCACAACAGCGTGCGAGCGCTCCTGTTCGCCTGAGCCCTTATCAGCGCTGTCCGCTGTTCCACTTTGCTCATTTGACGGGGGATTAGTGTAGTATGTTTCAATTTCAGCTTCTCTTAGGAATAAGTTTGAAACCTTTTCACACGTGTAAGAGCCATATTTTGAATTCTTATGTCCATAAATTAGCTGCTTGTGTCCTTCTACATTTTTTCAGGTTGTCGATCGTTTATATTTTTATTTTTAATTGAATTATAGACCTTCCTTATAAGCTAGAGAAATCGGCCCCTTTCCTTAGTTATGGCGTATTTTTTTCCCCACATTGTTATTCGATTCTTGATTTAGTTTAGGTATTATTTTTTTATTCTGAAATTTAAAATTTTTCTGGCAAAATTGATCAGTGTTTTAATTTTTGAGTTTTATGTCATCTATAAAAAGGGCAACTTAGTTTCAACTTTGTTTTTCTAACAATTTTTTTCTAAAAGGACTTTCGAATAATCCTTCTTGTCCTTCCTACTACAAAATGCCCCTTATCACATTTCCTAAATTTCTGTATGTATTTAACTCTATTCTAGGCTCTATTAGCTATTTTAATCTTTGGTGCCAGTATCAATTTTTTTCGAATACTGTAGCTTTAAATTGTTTTAACATCTGATGTTTTTCAGAAATGTCTTGGTTATTTTTCCATGTGAACTTTGTAATCAGCTTATCTGGATATGTATTATTTCCTATATGCATTTATGTATTTATATACTTATATGCATTTTTGTGGCATTTTCGTGGCATTTTGTGGAAATTGCATTGCACTTACAGATTGATTTAGGGAGAATTAGCTTGTATATAATATTGAGTCTTCTTAGTCAAGAACAGGACATATCTTTTTCATTTATTCAAATTTTATTTTATGCTCCTCAGGATTTTAAAATTCTCATATAGATTTTGTCCATTTTTTATTAAGCTTATTCTTGTTATCTTTTTTGTTGCTATTACAAGTGTGATTTTTTTTCCCTTTGTATTTTCTCACTTTCCATGTTTAAAGGCAATTGATTTTTATATGTTAATTTTACATTCAGCTAGACGACTGAATTGTCTTTGGTAATAGATTTTCAAGTGGTTTTTTTTTAGGATAAAATATCATCCGCTAATGTTGACAGTTTTACCTCCTGCTCTCCAGATTTATACACGTTTCGTTCTCTTGTCTGATCGTGTGGGCCAGAACCCCTAGAACAAGTTTCCATAACGATAAGCGTAATTGGCATTTGCGTCCCTTTCTTCATCGAGACCAGCTGTGATATTTTGCAAGTGGCCACCGTTAGGTTCCGGTCACCTGGACTCCCGTGACCTTGGTTCATGGCATTTTTCCCCTTCTCTGTCAACAGCGCAGTGACGGCCCCTATGCTCTGGTGCTGGTGCCCACGAGAGAGGTAAGCAGCCTCCCGTCTGGGAGGAGTCTGGAGCCAGGATTCTCAGTGGTACTGTGCTCTGTTGGATTTGTCAGTGGCTCTACCATTTTTCTCTCTGCTGCACAAACGAACGTGCCCTTGCCCAGGAACTGCCCTTCTGGTTCCTGACCGGAAAAATTCAAGTACTCTGAAAATCATAAAGTAGGGAAAAGCATTTCCCTGTTACCTCAAAACTAACACTATACATTTCTATCTTTTGAAAAGAAATTTAAATGACCAGATTTTTGTACTTTGTCTCCAACTGAATTCAGAAATAAAAGCAGTCAGCACTAACATTGAAAAATCTTTTTAAAAAGCTACTGGGCCAGAAATTTTACTTGTTCCTGAAAGGTAGGCTTCTTGGTATTCTTCTTTTTTGGTAGAAAGTCTTTTTCGTCTGATCCATTTTATTTGCCCACAGAGGCAATTTTAGGCTAGGGCGTCTGCTTTGTGTATCAGACGCTAAACACTCTTCGCAGAGAGCTGGTCCAGGAGATGGAGGTCTCCGCTCCGCCTTTTGCGCAGCCTGCAGTGCCCTCTCTCAGCTCTGCCCAGCGAAGAAGGAGACGTGGAGCTGTTTCCGTCTTTAAGGCAGCAGACGACTCCTTCCCTGGAACCCTAAGCCTGTGGGAATCCAGTACGCATCCTGCAGAAAGGGATGTGCGTAGGCTTTTCGATGGTTGTTAATGGTTACAACCTGCCTTCATTTTCACGTTCCCTGGTTTCCACTGGGCTTTTTCGTGTTTCTTTCCTTTAATAAACTTGGGGGGTGGCCCTCCCTCAGTCTTGGGCTGCTGCTCTGCCCTGGCATAGTCTCAGGATATAGTCATGTCACCCGTAAAGTCCCCAAAGGCTGGCCTGTTGCACCCCTGTCCTAGTTTACTCCTTCGTACCTATTACAGTCTTTCTCTGTCTAGAGAGAGCTGAATTCAGGTCGGCTCCGTTTCGTATTTTTTTTTGGTTTTTTTCCCCCCATCTTTGTGCCCAGAGCCTTGTAGTCTCCGTGTGGCGCTCTGGGGATTTGAGCCAGCAGAGGGAGCACAAAACACTATTTTCACATGCATCCAGGAAATAGATGTGATGTTTCTACCCACATTCTACAAACTGACAGGTTTCAGAGTCAATCTAAGGGCAAGGTATATTTTTTGAGTTGATTCTGCGACAGGATTTTTATTTCCTTAAATCTTAACTTGAGGTCCACGTTCGGATCCTAATCGCTGTACGTTGTCTAAATTTTTTTTTTAAAAAAGAAGGGACCTTGCTCATTATCTGTAACTTTTTGATATTTACAGCTGGCTCTACAAAGCTTTGACATCTTCCAGAAACTTCTCAAGGTAAGGCCAGCCATGAGTTCAGTTTTATCTTTTTTTCCTGATCTTTTGAGGAAAGAGAAAAGAGTATTTTCGAAGAGCGAGGCATTGTGCCGATGTCCTCCTGGCCCCCGGCTGTCCGTGCTCCCCCCAGGTGCAGCCTGGTTTTTACTAATCCAAACCTTACTAACCACCTGTTTCCAGCTTAGCAAGATTAGTAGCGTTTCCTGGTGCGCAAAGGTTCATTATAATCTATTCATCTTAGTCACAAGCAAGCCACATCCAGACATTCACAGGGACAGCAACCCTCGGTGGTCAACTGGAGAGCAACTTAAAATGCTGCGAGTAGGGTTTGTCAAAGAAGAAAGGGAAAGCATCAGAGCCCAAGGCGGCCGGCCCACCGGATTAGAGCGAGTCAGTGAATTATGTAAACGTCCTAGCGCCATGCTGTACACCTGAAACTAATATAGAATAACATTGAATGCCAATTCTAATTGAGAAAAAAAGAATCTGCCCTTTCCTTTCATCAGGAGTGCGAGTGGGGAGGGTTGTGCTTGGGTTTTGTTTTAACCAAAAAGAGCAAAAGAAAGGCAGTAGACTTAACCGCAATGCGTTTGTAATTCAGGCTCCACCGAGACAGGCAGATTTGCTACTTGAATCACTTAAAAAGCTCCTGTTTCTCTTAGAGTGTCGGAAGCCTGTTGTTTAGCTCTAATTTGAGTTACTGCTGCTAGTGATCACGGGCGTGGCAATACCTAGGAGTCGTGTCTGCACAATAACCTTACAGTGAGGAGCCTGAGCCCCCCTCCAGCTCCCGTGAGGAAGGGAGTTTGGAGTCAGTCTCTGTCTGCAGCAAGGGGCTTCGCGTTGACTGGTCTGTCTGTCTGCAGCCGTTCACTTGGATTGTGCCCGGAGTGCTCATGGGAGGCGAGAAGAGAAAATCGGAAAAAGCCAGGTAGGGGACGTTGGTTGTGGTGGATCCCTTCCTGAACCTGTCTGTCCTGCCTTCCTGTTCGGTAAGACTTGGTCCTTCCACACCTGGGGAGAGCCTCGTCCCAGACTCTGCTTCCTGCTCATGCGTAAGGACAGACCGAGTCGGCAGGGAGCAGTTGCCTCCAGACGGCTGCTTTTAAAAATAGTGACGAACCTGCATGGGGCTCCTTTCTTACGTGGGCGTCGCCTTCTTAATTAACTCCCCCCCAGTACCCGCAGTCCCCCCCGGTTTAGTGTGCAGCCCCCTCGGTGGCTCCCTTGTGGGAGGTTCCTTGGGAGTTTGGGGATTTCTTGTTTTACACAAAAACAAGATCATAAGCTTACATAATTCTTTGCATCTGGCTTTTTACATCTCGAAACATCGATTCTTAATTCTACGTTAAAGCTGGTAATGAGTGTCCGTAGAATATTGTTGCAACAAGTGAATTCCAAATTGTCTGCATTCTTTTTAAACCATTTTTATTGAATTATAGCTTAATGCATAGTAGTAACACCCAGCTATGTTTGGTTTGTAACTGAAAAGTAAATATTAAACTCGAAAGATAAAAGTGTTGTTTAGGGTTAGATTCAGCGGTGAACAGCAAAGGCGGCAAATAGCAGGAGCACAAACAACATGGAAGGTGTATTTTTCTTCCACATGTGAAAGAAGGCCGAGGTCGCCATCCAGGACTGGCATGGTGCTCCAGTGTCAGGACCCAGGCTCCTCCTGTCCTTATGTGCCACTAAGGGAGGCTTCCATTTTCAAGGTTACCTCACAGTCTTAGAAGGTTGCTGGAGATCCAGACATTACACCTAGTTTCCTTGCAGCAGGAACAAAGACAATCATACCTCCTCCCCGTGAAGGTGCCCGTGGGATTTGCATATATTCATTAGCCTTTTATCCTAATCCTAGAACGCAGGCCCATGATCATGCTTCACTGCAAGAGAAGCTGAAAAATACACTCAGCTAAAAATGGGAGACTTTTCTTACCATAGAATAATGGCATAAAGGATGTTTGGGTCGTCAGAAATTAGATTTATTCTACCTAGTCTATGAGGCAAAGCTAAGCCCGTTATATGGAAGTTACGATAAGAGCTCAGTATAAAGAAAAACATTCTGGGACAACTCAGATAAGAGGACACCTGGCGTAGGAGCTTCCAGGAACAGGAAAGGTGACCACGTACCTGGAAGGTTCTAGAAAGGACCCGTGGGTCAGGTAAAAGGCATCATAAAGGTTTCTTTCAAAGTTAAGGTTTTATGATTTTAAAATACTTTCAAATCTTAACAATTATATTCTAGAGGAGAGAGAAACTTCAGAGAAAAATTAAAACTCACGTATATCTTTGTATCCACTTGTCATTATGTGTCACGATGTCAAGCAGTGGCACGTCGATGCTAGACATGAATCTGTCTCCCTGGCCTTTTTCCTGTGTTTTCTATTGATACAGCCCAGTTTGATTTCCTTTTTTTTTTTTTTTTTTCCCCCACGGTGTGTAATTTCAAACAGACTCCGCAAGGGAATAAATATCCTTATCTCAACTCCGGGGCGACTGGTGGATCACATCAAATCCACAAAGAACATTCATTTTAGCCGGGTACAGTGGCTGATTGTGGATGAAGCCGACAGGTGAGCCTCGTCTAGAAGCACGGAAGGCGGGAGGGGGCGCTGCTTCGCTGTCTCCGCCCAGCTCTGAGGCCCCCTTGGTATCCTCTTCATTCTTCATGTCATTGAAATTCCTTCTCTCCAAACCGCAGAATCTTGGATTTGGGTTTTGAGAAGGATATCACAGTGATACTCAATGCAGTCAATGCCGAGTGTCAGAAGCGACAGAACGTCTTGCTGTCGGCGACACTCACGGAAGGTGAGTTGCAGAGGTGCCCTCTGTTCTGCATTTGGTGGGGGGCAGCTGGACTGGGCACGTGTGCCAGTCGTGGTTCTCAGCCCTGGGGACGGGGGCGGGGGATCTCAGAGGACCTCTTCTCAGACCCCGAATCCTGCACCAGCCTCCCTCTTCCAGCTTCCAATACTCTGTGATCCCAGGGCATGGACAGAGGGGGAGAGGGCGGGTCCCCGATCCCGAGTTACCGTGGGGACGGTGCTGCTGGCGCTCACGTCAGGGCGGAGAGGAAGAGAAAGGCCGTGTGGTCTCGGGACGCGCTTACTGTGATCACGGCCCACCTGGGAGCAGGGCTCTTGTGCCGACAATGGTGACCTCTGACCCCAGTGCGCATTTTAGTGTGGTCACCCTGCCTCTCTCTTGAAGAGACAGTGAACCAGAAAATAGGTCGTCTTTAAGCCGTTTGTGCTTTCCATCCTCACGAGATAGGAACTTGGCTCTCTCTCGTAGATGGGCGCACCGGGGCTTGGGAAAGCCACGTCACTCCCCACGAGTCACCCACACAGTGGTCCTTGTTTGAGCGACAGCACAACTTGCGTGTTCTTCTGTCCGGTTTACTTGTTTTGCCGGCCGCCCATGGTGCCCATGTACCAGATACCATGCGTGTGACTCATCAGCAGTTCTGAGTGTGTCCTCAATAATAGTGATGTTACGAGATAATCTGTGGAAAAGGGGTTCTGTGCTCCAGAAGTTTGGGAAACGCCCCACATTACCTCCTCGGAGATTCATGGTGTACCCCCACACAGTAAAGGTCCTGAGAAGGCCTGTAAACCCCACGAAGCCTTTTTTTCAGGGTTTCCATAACTTACTTGACCACAGAATCCTCTCTAGGGTTGGGGGGAGCGGGCAGCCATCTGTTAGTGTCCCTTTCAGTGGTCTGCCACAGGTCCGAGTTTAGAAATGCTGGGCGGATGGGTCATTGGGCCATGGGAAGGAACCAGGGGGGTCCGCCCCACCAGACTGACAGTTGGCAGGTCCGTGCTGGCACTTGGTGGCATCTGTCGGGAGTTTCCCGGTACGCCTGGTATGTGGCGTGTGTGGGAGTGCATACCTGGCCAGGTCCGTGGCACGTGCATGTCATCTATCTGCCTTTTTCACTTTCTATCCAAGGGGTGGCCCAGCTCGCCGATATCAGTTTACTCAACCCAGTCAGTATTTCTGTCCTGGAAGAAGGCTACGGACAGGCTAACCCACAGGGCGGAGGAGCTCTTGAAGTCTCCGCTCCACAAACCAGCGACGAGTTGGACAGCTTCGCGATACCGGAGGGTCTCGATCAGCACGTGACCTTGGTTCCCAGCAAACTGAGGCTGGTCTCCCTGGCGGCCTTCATCCTGCAGAAGTGCGCGGTAGGACTTGGGACTGGACCCGGCTCGATCAAGGGCACAGAGACCTGTTCATGTCGGGCACTGGTAGCTGCGTGGAGACACGCACGCGTTTTCCAGCCAGGGCGTGTGCGTGAGTGTGGCCCTTCACACGTGTCAGCCAGTGGTCCAGGACTGTGGGAAAGAATCAGAGATCAGTGAGGGCCAGTGTGTTCAGCTTGAGATCGGCCTTAAGCATCTTGCCTGGGACTGACGCCGGGGCTGGGTGCATCACAGGTGGACACGTGCTGGACGTGGGGCAGCTCTAGGGGTCTGTACTTGGGTTTTTGAAAGATTCCTAGTATTTCTGTAATCGTTTGCCAGGTTCACCTGATAACTTTCTCTGGTCCCTGGGGACGTAGTGGGAAAGCGTGACAATGAAGCGTCAGGGTTTCCTGCGGACAGGGGTTGTGCGTGGCGAGCCCAGAGTGGGGGGAAGAGCTAGCGCACAGCGTCACTCTGCTGCGTGTCGCTCCCAGGGGTGGGGCCCCGTTCGAGGCCACAGCTCTGTCATTTTCCGTCCAGCGTTCTTCGTAGCGCGAAACATCGGTGTTGCTGGGTTCCTTTTTTTTTTTTTTTTCTTTAGTAATTCAAAGCCGTCAGCCGCCTATATTTCCTATGGGGCTGGTGTGACTATGTTTCAGAGAGATGCTCGTCTTGGTGTCGCCTAACCCTAACGTGTGGTTGCTTTCTCCCTCGGTACCGACGTAGTTCGCAGCCGACCAGAAGATGATCGTCTTTTTCCCGAGCTGCGAGCTGGTGGAGTTCCACTACACGCTCTTCGTCCAGACCCTGCTGCCCCGCCCGGGAGCCCCGGCCGCGGCGCCCTTACCATCCGGCTCCACGCAGTTGAAGTTCCTGCGGCTGCACGGGGGTCTGGAGCAGGAGGTGAGCAGCACACGACCCCCCCAGGGACCGAGACCCCGCGAACTTGAACTCGTCCTCCAGGGTCACAGAGCTTCCTTGGCAGGCTCCGCCGGGCTCAGGAAGGATAAGCCTGCCGCGGGCGACCCACTGGACCTGGACGCCAGTCCCGCTGCCCTACCAGTGTGGCGGGGGAGCCTATTGTTCCCGTCGGCTCTCGCTCCCCAAGCTGGGGGCTCGCAGGCCCGCTTGGCCCGCGTCTACCTCAGCCAGCTGTTAGGGCAACAGAGTACCACTGAGTAGCTGGCACCAGGGAAGGCTTTTGCCTTTTTAGTACCCAGTGTGTAATTAGGGCTTGATGTCTTCAAATTAAGAGCATTAATGGAGCTAAATTGTGGATCCCATATGGTACCGCTGAGCGTGGCTGCTGTCCCTGTCAACAAGCGCAGCGCTTCCCTCTCCACACTTCTGGTTGCGAGAGGGTCGTGCGTGCCGCGGGGCCTCGGTCCGGCCTCGGCTCTGCGCGCCGCTTTTGTTCAGCGGGCAGAGCGTGACGCCGTCCTGATGCTGGGAGCCGGGCTGCGGAGGCTCGGCCGCTGCTGGTCGGTAGGCTGTCCGTTCAGGGAGCCGGGCTGGAGCATGCTGGAGCCGTGGAAGGGAGGACGGCTCGGGCCTGGGGACAAGGGCCGTCTTGTCCTCGCGGAGAGGTTACCAGGCAGCTTAGAAAATTAGAGCGAAAGGAAGCCAGAAATCCGAACGAGAGCGGACAGAACCAGCTTAAAAAATCAAAGTTTTTAGGATTGAAAGGTGCATTAAAAAGGTTATCAAGTCCAATCACACGTTTTGTTTTTGCTTTTCTATTTTAATAATTCAGAAAATGGAGACTCAGAAAAGTGAATTTGCTGAAAGTCACTCAAGGTCACAGCTGCTTATTTGCTACAAGATTACACAAAGTCGGTTTTTACCTTGTACACCCCTGATTCAATTGAGTTTGTTGATTTGATAATGTGATACCATTTACGATTTTTTTTAACTTAGTTTATTAATCCTCTGGGCTGTTTTCACCAGGGGCGTTCTGCAGGGTAGGTCTGAGGGAGGTGGAGGAGCTGGGTATAGTCTCAGAGTCTGGAAATTCAAATAGGTCATCCAGAAGATTCTGTCATTAAATGATTTCCAACTCTCATTGTAATAGGATGGTATCTGGCAGAGTGCTTACAGGTGGGGCAGACTATTTGTGTTCTAGTCGTGGCTCTGCTGTCTACTGGCTGTGTGACCTCACAAAAGCATTTAGCCTCTCTGTGCCTCAGTTTCCATGTCTCTAAAATGGAGCTAATGATAACATGTTGTTTCTAGGGTGGTTGTGATGCTTGATCGAGTCAGTACAGACAAAGCGCTCAGCACAGGGCTTGGCACATAGCAAGTGCTCAGTGAACGTTAAGTTCTACTGCTCATTTAATTGTTGGTATTTCGCTTACATTGTTTTGTTCCTGAAGGCACCTTCACAGTCTCCTCCAGAAACGGGTAGAAGACGGGAAAATTCATTTTGTGAATGCTGAGGTCGAGCGTCTTGTCCCAGACTAAGCTAAGATAGTCACAGTCACGCTTTCCTGGTGTCTTATGCTGGCCACTGTTCCATGTGACCTGTGGTCTCCCTAAGTGATTGACGTGACCACAGCCAAGTACGTGGGCACCGGAGGAAAGTCGCCGTTTGAGGAGGTTGCCACGTGGTTGTTGGGTTGAGGAGCTGGTTAGGTTTTCTCCTCACCCCAAATCTGACTACATCACGGTCAGTGTTGAAGGCGATTCGGGCTTTCGTGAACTCTTCTGATTTTGACTCTACAATGCAGCCATTAAAAACGTCCCTTATAAAGACCAGGCAGCAAGTGACAAATGCGGCAGTCCTTGTGAGGGTCCGAGCACCGACTGTGGAGCACGGCTCCCTGGGTGCAGGTATCTGCCCAGCCCTTGGCCGTGTGCGCGCATCCCTTGGGCAGGTGTCTCAGCCTCTCTGTGCCTCCGCCTCTTCACCTGGAACGGGCGGCGGCAGCACCTGCTCACAGGCCTGTTGCACCCAATGCCCCATTGTAAGCTCTGCCAGGTAGAGCGCGGGCCGGCGGCTGGCATGCAGCAGGCTTCAGTCTGTGTTGGCTTTCTGCCCACTGTCCTGAGTGAGGGGCCAGTCACGTGGAGGCCCGGAGGAAGGTGCACATTTGTGACCCAGTGGCCGTGCCAGAATGGAGGGACAGACCTCACCTTTTCCTTTTTCCAAATTTGTGGTCATGTTGGTTATATTTCCTTTTTCGTTGCTGACAGATGGACATGGTGGAGTCTCAGCCGCTTGCAGCTCTGTGACTCACACGCACTGGGCAGGTGCCCTTTGCGGGTTCGCACCGAGCCGTTTAAGTGGGCGCACCTTTTGGCCCAGCAAGGCTGCCTTTAGGAACTTACCCAGAGAGAACGAGTACGCGCGTCCACAGCTGCTGATCTGCAGAGATGTCGATCACGGTTGTTTGGAACGGTAAACAGTTGGTGACAACCTCAGGTGCCAGTTATGGGTCATTGGGCATACCCATTCGACTGCGTCCTGTGTAGTCACGAGAGACCATGTGGGTTTGGGGTATTTATCGGCCTGAAAAGACGTTTGCGTTCTGCCAGGAGGTGACGAGAGCGTGTGCACAGCGTGCGTAGCATGGCACCGATCTCGCACTCGGTCACATTGCGCGCAGAAACGGGGCCAGAGGAGCGTGGGGTCACCAGCGCCGGCTTTGCGCTCTGGGTGGCGGAATGCTTGCACTCTTTTCCTTTGATGGACATATAATTTTCCAATGGTTAAAATACACGGGTTTTGTAATTTTTCACCTTTTAAAAAATAAGTTTTTAAAAAATTCCACTGTAGAAAAGGTTGGTTGGTCTTCACTCCTCTAGCCCACCTGTAGGAAATCGCGTTTAGCGTAAATTCAGTCACTTGCGTGCCATGGCCTTCCCCGCCCTTAGGGTTGGCCATTTCCAAAGGATGTGCCCACGGTGGCATCGTCTTACTGAGGCGTGCGACGTAGCCAAGGCCAGCCCTGTGAGTTCCGGGCCTTGCGAGGAGATGTGAAGAATCCACTTCCTCGGCGGAGCCTCTCTGTGCCTCCTGTGGTGCAGCAGACGGAAATGGGGCAAGCCGCGGGAATCCGAGCTGCCTCGCTGGAATCCATCTCGGAGTTGTAAGGCTTTTTTCCCTTGTTTTTGTAGGACAGAATAGCCGTGTTTCAAGAATTCTCCCATTCCAGAACGGGCGTTCTCCTTTGCACGGTACGTACCCTTCTCTACTCCACGTGATTGGTGATTGCAACATTTTCTCTCTCGACAATTTGAACTTGTGGCCAGCTCCACAGAGAGCAGGAATACCAGGGGCCTCTTGGTGTGGCTGGTCCCTTTGCACTTCTGGTTTGTCACCTGACTTTGTCACGGATAGCCGGCTGCCACTGTGCAGAAGACTTAGCGATTTGCTCACTAATAGTGACAGCTGTTGGTCTGAAAATGTGTGAATCTTGGTGATTTCTACCCACCAAAAACTTGTAAATTACAGCTATCGGGAGTAATTAGAGCTGAGAAAGTCTTTCCACAACAAAGCGGCTCTGCTCGCGTCGCTCACCTTTTCTTAAAGGAGAGCAGATGCGCTTGGGAGGGTCTTATCGGCTGTTGTCTGCAGCTCTCGTCCGGCCTGCCGTTTCTGGGTCTGCGGCCGCGAGGGCTGCCGCCTCCGGCACGGCGCTCATGCTCTTTCGAGATGGAAAACTCGCACTTTCCACGGCCCCCTTCTCTGGGGATTGGCATCACTGTAGTTGTCGCTTGCCCCCAGGGTTAAAAGACCTTCCCTGTTTGGGCCATCTCGGATGATGTCACTTAATCCCTAACTGATGGTTTGCAGAATCCCTGTATATACGATAATGAAATTACACGATAAGTTGGGTAATTCAGTGAACGGTTGGTTGCTGGATAGAGGAAACAGACATTTAGCCCCTTGAATTCCTGCGCTGTGTTCTGCTTCAGAGGTCGTAGAGATCGTTTTCTTCCTAAAGTTAGCGTGTGGGCGAGCGCTGCTGTGTCTTGTGTGTGGCCGTGTACAAGATGGAGTGCCTGGTCACCTGCTTGTCATAGTGTGCTAGTTCTCACGTGCGTGGCAACCCCTTCCCTTTAGGAAGGGCATCCACAAGTCACGTGCTTGTGTTTGCTCTAAAAGCACCCGCAAATACCTAAGTAAGCTACGTGGTAAAGAACTTTGCCAAAAATCTCTATGTCCGGTAGTACCTTCTGGAACTGGACCCCTTCCTGTCTCTGTCCCCATTTCTCCTCTTGCTTCTTACCTAGGCCCCCCTTTCAGCTCCTCAAATGTGTCATTCTCACGTTTTGTGGCCGTGGGGCCTTGGTACATGTATTCCTTCTGCCAGGGACACCCGCCCTGACTTCAACTGACCCCTACTTAGGTCTCAGCTTTAAAGTTCATTTTTTCAGAAGGTGGGGCTCCTGGAGCCCCAGTTCTCCGTTTGGCCCTCCTGGTCACCCTGCATCTCTTTACGGCACTCATCACACCAGGCCTGGGTGTCCTCCCACCAGACGACAAGCTCTGTGGGTCATTGGGGCCCAAGAAAGTCGATGTTGAGGACCACAGACATGTGCCTTTTCTAAAGATGAGAGGCCAAGATATTCTTGCTTGTTGGGCATAAACTCACATTTTCACACGTGGTGCTATCTGAGGAGCGAATGGCACACGTGTATCTTGAGCCAGAAAGCAGCAGGAACCTGTGTGTCGCCGTTGGGGTTAGGATCAGAACACAGTCTTCTATCTTTGGCCTTTAAGATGCTGGATTTGTCCCTGGTGGGAAATTGTCGAGTCTCTTAGTGGACAAGCGCTACGGCGTTATGGACGTGGGTGAGCTCCGAGCGTCAAAACTCTAGGTATTTGTAGGTCAGTTTGTTTGTGTTGGTTTGGTTTGGTTTTGGTTTTTCTTGCTCTTCATGGAAGAGAAGATCATTCTTTCTGAAATGTAATTCCCAGTGGGGTCAAAACACATGCTGACTTTCCTTGTTCGGCCTGGCTGACACCTGCGGGCAAGGGGTGTCAGCTGGACACAGGGCACCAGTGACTTGGCAAAGCACAGCACTCCCCCCTTTCACGCCTGCCGGTCCTGGTGCCACGGGGAGAGCAGACTCATTTGCTACAATCTGATGTCTCTCAAATCTCTTGGTTCATGTCCCTTTGCTCGTTCAGGTCGCTTCCAGTACCCGGTCCCCTCCCAGAGTCATCTCGTCCTTACCCTGGGGTGAGGATTACTACAGAAGCCCTGGGGCGGCAGGGGCAGGAGGGGCGGGGCGCTCGTCTCCCTTATTTCTAGGCCGAGATCTGAGCATGGCTTCCTAGGAGCAGAGTTCTCTTCCACTCTGTGGTCCTCCTACGGCTGCCATATTTGTTTGCTTTAGCCGGACGCTTCTGGCGTCTGAGCTGTGGGGCGCATGAGACGCGCTGTAATAGATCATGCCTGGGTTGGGGGGGTATTGTCGCTCGGCGTCCTTTGAAGCAGCCTGTTGCTTGCCAGGTCCTGCGAACGCTCCCCAGGAGCCTCCTTAGTGTTAATGAGGAATGCGGGCCACTTCAGGACACGGCAGATGGAGAACTGGCTTCTTCTGATAGAGAGGAATCGCGTTAGCTGCCGCGTGGGGCTTTCCCCCTTCACACCGTTCCTTTTGCCATTTTGATTTATCATCCCAAGGTCCTTCTAACGGGGCCAGAAGACTGAAAATCTGGGAATTATGGTGTAACTACACAAAAGCACACAATTACGCCATTTCCTTTCCTGCTAGGGAGTCCCCCTGCACCCCATTTTCCTCCCTCTCTATGTCCTGTTATTAGGAACAGCTAAGGGTGTGTGTGCGTGTGTTTCTTTCATCTCAATTACAAACATCTAAAAGCAAGGAACTTTTTAATTTCGTGCTCTGTAGTCTTTCAGGGCCTGATACAGAGCTTTGTATGCTGTGGGGTCTCAGGCCGCGTGACCATGGTGACATGGAGACCGAGGTGGAAGGGGGGTCAGGCAGGAGGTACCCATTTGTGAAGGAAAGAGAGTCTTTGTACTTTTGAAATGTAATTTTTACGTTCTCTAGAAAATTAGATCTAAGAAGCAGCCAAAGTTAATAAGACGGTAAGGATTAGCAGGAAGGAGTCATCCGAGAGTTCAAAGCCGCTTTCCAGATTGAGCTAAGAAATCTGAGGAATCGGGTCTCAGATACGGGGTTACCTCCAGGACGTTTCCTCCTGTTTATGGTGCAGACCTCACCGTGGCTTTTAATGGCCATCATCACTTCGATGAGCTGATAGAGACACGCCGCTGGGTGATAGCAAACGGTGTCTCCAGGCGGCCTCTGGTTTTAAGGCTGGTCGTAGGCTTTCTGCTGGTACGCATGGTGCTCTCTGGTTGTCCCCTGGTTGTCCCCAGATGACCAGAGCACGGCCACCTCCCAGCAAGGAGAGGCACTTCCGGCTCCACCCCGGTGTGCTGGCCGCGTGCTCGTCGGAACACACCGCACTGTCCCTCTGAAGGTCCCCGAGTCACCTGTGCTGCTTTCCTCCACCGTCTCACTTTATTTCTTTTTTCGCTCGAAGTACAGTTTTGTCTGTGCAGTTCTTAATTTCCTCTCCTCCTGGGGCATCTCCATGTGCCAGGGGCCCAGGAGACAAAGGAGCGGGCCCGTCAGAGTCACGAGCGTGTCAATTCACAACCCAGAGTAAATGTACTTTCTCGGTTTTCTCTGGGGCATGTTTTTTAGGTAAAGTTTATCTTTCCACTTTATTTCCTCGTGTTAATGGCAAGATCATTTGGAGATTGCTGGCTGCTGACTCGGTTACGCTAACTCATGTTGCCAGTTTTTTGGCGGCCGCAGCCAAGATCTCTCGCCTCTGACAGCTTCTCCTTCCTCCTCTGATTACGCAGCCCAATCTGTCACCCGGACAACGGGGGCCCGTACCCCGCTGATGGCTTTCCACACACGGCAATAATGACTTTTGGCAGGCCAGAAAGGCGGCAGAGGCGAATTTGCTGCGTCCCTTGCTCAGAGAGCCGGCAGGCCCCCTCTCTCTGTTAGTAAAAGCACTTTGTGAGGTTCTTGGGTAAATAAATGAGTCATTTTAATCCAACTGACAGGCTGGCACCTGAGCAAGCTGCCTTCCATCTGTACTCCTTGGTCTCATGGAGGCAGCCAATTGTCGAGCCCAGGGCCTTCAAGGCCGCACCGTTGAGCGTCTTTCAGAACTGACTTTAGCGATTCTTTTGCCCTAATTAGGTTAAAGGGCTGCGGTGGGGCCGGATCTCAGTTCTGAAGGAGGGCGGAGGACCGGGGCCTTTGCTGAGTCTTAGCGGGTCGCGGTTTCTGTTGCTCTGGTACTGCTGCCGACGGCATGCCAGGTGGAGGGAGGGCGCCCCCGCTTCTCCCAGGGGCACGGGGTGCGAGCGGGGGACGGCGTCTGATTGCCGCCATGCCAGTGCTTGCTTTATCGTGAAACGAGTGAAGCACTTGGGTTGATAATTCTCGAAACACGGTTTGCATACACCGTCTCTTCTGGTCTTCACAGTGACCCCATGAGATAAATCGGGTAGGTCTTATAGTCGTTTTATGGGTGGGTAAACTGAGGCTCAGAGAGCTGGGCTGATACGCCCAGGTCACATAGCTGCTGAAGTCATACCGAAGTCCAGTTCTCTCTGTTCCTAGACAGGAAGACTGTTCCTTTCCCCCATTCTCTGTGGTAGCCCAGGCTCGGAGCGGAAGGAAGCACTTCCTTCCCCTCTCTGGATTAATTCTGAGCAGTGACTTCAGCTGGATTAATTCTGAGCAGTGACTGGCTGTCGGTGAGGTCCCCTGCCCCACCACAAGAAGTAGGGGGGCGGGGAAGACTGTGTCTCAGCCGGTGGTTTGAGCTGGATCACCCAGGTGAGAGACCCTGAACAGTCTCAATGACAAGCTGCTGGCATTCTTCCTAAGTCACTGTTTCATCGTGTCCGTACTCAGTGACTTTCATGAACATCATATGTTGTTTTAGTTTTGCCTGGTATTTTTTCTTTCTTTTTTCCTTTTTAGGTGAGGCAACCCTTGGTTGACCTCACAGATTGCAAGGACCTTATCAGCTTACAATCCCTTATTTTTTATTTTTACGCCTACAGCACCTGGTCTTCCTGGGTGGTCTCCCATCCAAGTACTAACCAGGCCCAACCCTGCTTAGCTTCCGAGATCAGACGGCATCGGGCTTGTTCAGGGTGGCATGGCCGTAGACTTTGCCTGTGTTTCTTGATTGAATATGCAAAGCCGACACGCATTAAATGTTTCACGAAGCCCACGTGAACCACTGTGGCAGCCCACAGACTGCACGCACCTCACACTGCAGAGCACTGGAACGAGATCCTTTCTCAACGGAGCTGAGCAGATTTAGGAGCCCCCAGTGTTTCTGACGCCAGCTGTGGTTGGCGTGGAAAGCAGCGTCCCTGCCTCTAGACAGAGAACACCCCAAACAGTGTTCTCAGAGGCGCCCGCTCCAGAACGTCGGCCTTTGCTTTCAGGGCTGTGGGGACCGTCTGAAAACACCTCGTGGTGGCTGACGCACTTTTAGTGCATTAAGCTCCTGCTTGACCCTTAATAAATGTGGCCTGGCCCCTGATCAGAGGGTGCCGGCCGCCGCAGGTGTGTCAGAGTGCAGGCTGCAGAATCCCGCCCCGCCCCCCGTGGTCCTTCTGGGGAGTTAGATGTTGCTGGGGGTATCTTCCTCGGGTCCTGCCTCTGAGCCTGGGGGATGCAGGGAGCGATCGTTTGAATGTGCTTCTTGCAGAAACTTTGCGTAGGGTTATTATTTTTCAAAAACTAATTATGCATAAGATTCTTAGCAGTGCCTGCAGTGACGGGAGAGGGAGGAGGGCTGGTCCTCACAGAAGAGCGCCCGCTCTCCCACAGAAGGGAGGGATGGACTTGGGAAGTCATCATTTGGCAGCCATCAGGGTAACAATCGAGCCGGACAAGCAGCACCAACAGATGCTAAACCCTCAGGCAAAGGTCCTGGGAAGCCGTCTGCGGGATTCACTCCTCCGTTCCCTTAATTACAAAGGCGAAAGGCACCTTCACAGTGGAGAGCGCTGGCAGACACCACTGACTCAGGTGGCTGGACGCGGCACCACCAGCGCAGGACAGGCTGCACTAGCGTGCCCCCCATGTGCCGCACTGGGAGGCACACAGCACCCTGACACCGTGTCTCTGCCAAAACGCCTCCCCCGGTCTCACCGTGAGGAAGTAGCGGGACAAACACGGGTCTGGGGTGGTCCTCAAGACGCCTGCGGACTTCAACATTGACGGTTATCAAAACAACACAGTGAGTAAAGGACAGGGGCGGCATTCTAGATGAAGGAACTCTAGAGGGGTGTGGCAAAACCTGCACGATCTGTGGTTCAGCCCTGGGTTGGGGAAGAAAAGCAGCTCCGAGAGTCGTCTTCAGTGCAGTTGGACAAGTCTGACTACGGACTGAACATTAGGAAGTAACGTTGTTCAACAGGAGACTCTTTAGGAGTGATGATGGCGTCGTGGTTCTGTAGAAGAATGTCCTTTTACCTGGGAGAAACGTGCCAAAGAGTTTAGGGGTCAAGTGCCGTGGCGTTTCCAGTGTACCTTCGGATGGTTCAGAAAACCGTGCCCGTGTGGAGAGCAGGAGAGCGCAGACGCGCCAGAAACCGGCCGCTGATGGGTCTCCGTGGCGGTGCGCAGGCGCCGCTCGCGTGCCACTCCTGTCTCCTCTGTAGGTTTAAATGTTTCAAAATAAAAACGTAGGGGAAATACATATTCATTGTTAAAAAACAAAACAACACAGAAAAATGCAAAAAGTGAAAATCACGAGAATCCCTCTGCCTAGAGATGACCACGGTTGACTTTTGAGAACGTCCTTCCAGGTGTTGGTTCTTAGTTTATCTGTGGATCTTCTGTCCGTTTATCCATCTGTTTAATGTGGTTTTTGGTTTTGTCTTGCTTTGTTTTTACCCTTCCTTTTTTTCCCTGAAGATTTTGGTGGCAGAAACCAGCCTATTTGTCTTTTAGGCTACCCCACATTTCAGATTTGCCTGACGGCGCCTGGCGGTGATGTTGAACTTGTTCCTGTCGCCCCCAGATTACCTCTAAACTAGCAGCCAGGTCTGGACCCTGGTTGGAGTCAGACTCTCAGGTCTTGCTTCTGTTTTGCCAGCAGTAGGTGATGCTCCGTACTTCCTGTTGCATGACAGCTGGCCATCTTACTTTTTCATTACGTCAGAACGTTCACATGGCCTCAGAGTCAAAGTCACAAAGGGCCGTTAGAGGAATCTGGCGTCCATCTGTTTCCCCTCTGCCCCGTTCTCCTCCTTCTTCTCTGGATAACTGTTTCGATGAGCTGGTGGGTTTTTCCCTCCATTTTTTTCTTTTGTTTTTTTTTTTTTGAAATTTGAGCGAATATATTTTATTTCCATTTCTTACACAAAAGCATACTGCTCGCACTTGAAATCGACACACTCAAGATTCTCCATGTCAGTACGTAGGAATCTTCATTCCTTCCGTGGCTGTATCATTCTCTGTTGTATGAGGTAGGTATTGCCATGTTTTTTTTCAACCTGTATCCTCCCAGACCTCCAGTTACGGATGGTGGTGAAACAGATACCCTCGTACATATGTCATCTTGTGTTTTTGCTGGCGTCCCTGTGGGTGGATTTCTAGGAGTGAGATTGTTCTGGGTCAGAGGGAGAAAGTGCATATATAATTTTGCTGGATATTAACCAAATTCTCCCGCTTTAAAGGGTTTCTCCCATTTTGCATTCCCACCGCAGCCCATGAAGGTACAGCATCTTTTCTGATGTTGGAACAGTATAATGTAATGTGGCCAAGGAATAATAGTTATTTTGAGGCTCAGTCGAGGTAACGCAGGTAAAGTGCTCCACAGTGTCCGGTGTGTAGGGAGCGCCTGGTAAATGTTGGCTGGCGACATCGTTGTTAGGAGTGTTAGCGAGTAGATGAATGCTAAGTGTAAATGATCGGTGAAGACCAGAAGATTCCCATTTTCTAGTCACTCTGCCAGAATGGCCAGAAACCAGAGAGCGGAGAGTCTTTGCTCTTTAGGTAGCGACCAGCTGAAAAGAAAAAATGGCTCTCCATTGCTTGAATGGCCTTCGTCTGCCTGGCTGCCCTTGACCTGCGTCTGATGTAGCAGGCCAGAGGGGCAGCCCCTACTCGATGCTTGCTGCTCTCTGAGGCCACGAAGCACAGACCTCAGAAAACGCTCCGCAACTCACCTCCACGAGGGACCACCTCGGAGTGATCTTCCAGAAGCCCTGTCGTCGTTAGCATCACCGATAGGGACGGGATGGGTGTAGTCACCTGTGAATGCACTCATTGTAGAGTGGGTTTCAGGTAAAATGTAATAGTGGAGCATGCCAGAAGTTTCCAGAGTTCTTCCACGGCGCAGCTGATAACAGCCTCTTGAAGCTCTCGGGCCGACCCGCAGGTGGTGTCTGGTGACGCGGGTCGTGACGGCCTCACCGGCGGGTTCCGTAGAACTCACCCCTGAATCAGAATTTTAACCACAAATGGACTTCAGTGGCTTCCTGGAGTTGTATGCCAACAGCTTTGTGGGGTGCAGGCACATTGGTGGGGGTGAGCCCTCGTGGTGTGCATTAGATTAGAACGGGTCTGTGACCCCCTAATCGTTCAGGAACTCAGTCCTAATCCCTATTCTTTTCTGTTTTGAAGGACGTTGCGGCTCGGGGCTTAGATCTCCCTCAAGTCACGTGGATTGTTCAGGTAATTTTCTTTTAAGTTGTTAAGGTGTGAGCTTGAGGCAGGAATGTATGATCGTGAGTAAATGCATTGGCTTTAACTAGAATAATTATTATTACCCTCTTGGGTGTTGCCCTGGTAACCAGGCAGCAACCAGCCTCCTCTGCACAGTCTCCCGACATCTCTCCTTAACCCAGCCCACCTCACCGCTGCAGCAAAACAGCCAGACTGTGCAGTCTCGGGAGGGAGGGGCAGGCTCCCCTGCTCCCAGACTAATGCATGTCACAGTGTCCGCAGTGACGGGAATTACCCAGGCCTCTCGGAGGCCTCACTGTCGGGGAGGAGATGGCCCAGCTGTCCTGAGATCCATGTCCTATACATTGACCCGCAGGGGGCAATTAAGTCCACGACAGCATCTTATACGTACCTCCGGCCTTAGACGCTTTGCCGGAGGGTACAGGTGTTCGCGCTAGTCCAGTGGTTTTAGATTTTACCTTTTTGTTAGCCTGCAGAGTGATGTTTTTAAGCCCTTCTGTGTAGGGACCAGGGGACACGTGCCCTGTTTACGTGAGTCATGGTTTATTCACATTTTAGTGGAATCGCATGCCTGTCACTGGCTAGGAAGTCTGAGCTGCTCACTGCAGATGGTCACTTTGCGACTGGAGGCATTGCGTCGTCTTTCCCGCTGGCCACAGAGCAAATTAAAGACAAGACGAGAATCATTTTAACGTGCGGAAGGCTAGACACATCAAATTGACCATTTAGAGCCTTTTTATAATGTGAATATTGATTAGTTTAATGTGCCTGGCCTCCCATATATCTATCATACTTGTCTTGGTCCTCGGACCTTTGATTTGTGTAGCAGCAAAGGCCAAAAAAGAGAAAGAATGAACATACGGCCAGTAAGTTTTAATGGTGACAGAGTTATTGCCACAGAGAACGTCAGATGCTCTGCATCTTTCCTCCTGCTGAGTTCCAGAGTCGGCCCCCTTCCCTGAGTCAGGGATGCTGTGCCTGGGAGCAGCAGCGTTTCCCTGTGTGAAGGGAGCTGCCTCTTGACTGCCCTGCAGCTCCGCCCCACTGGGACTGAGTGGAGCCACAGCTTGGTGGCGGGGCCCAGCCCCAGGGTCCCAGCCGCAGAGCCGAATGCTGGGATGGCAGTAACCAGCCCCATCCTCCTTACCCTGCCCAGCGTCTTCCGTGGCCTCACCCCCACTGCTTTGTCTGCCACGGAAGTAGGCCAAGGTCTTGTGGTCATCCGCGGAAGTTTGCCCCCACCTGCCGACGTTTTCACCTTGCACAGTCACCTTGGTGAAAAGATGCAAATAGGAAAATGAAGAGACCTGTGGAGAAGTAAAATTAAAAAGGAGATACTGGGACGAGAAGACATCTCGTTTATCTGAAACTTGGCCACCGTTCACGTTTGCGCGTCAGAGCCCTGTTACTCCGGCGAAGCCAGGAGTCTCGGGGTTGACTGACTTCTCCTTGCGACTGTGTTGGGGTAACTGGAGCCCCAGGATTTAAGCCTTGGGATACCTGGAGGCAGGTGAGGGGTATCGCACTTGCAATGAACGGCAGTCCCTTGATCTGTGAACACCTTCATTCCTGTCGCCCTCTTTAGTACAACGCTCCGTCTTCGCCGGCTGAGTACGTCCACCGGGTTGGGAGAACTGCCCGCATTGGCTGCCGGGGGAGCAGCCTGCTCATTTTGGCTCCTTCGGAGGCAGAATATGTCAACTCGTTGGCTTCTCACAAAATCAAGTGAGTCAGAAACCTGAACGGGGTTTCGGCTGATCTCACCTAATTAACTTTCTGTCGCTTTTTATAGTGGATGGGCCTTGTAAGCTGATGAAGCACCATTAACCCTTGTGATCGCTAAAGGAGTCCCAGAATAGCCAGTGGCAAAAACTAACACCCTTAGTGCCATCAGCACGTGACAGTTCTCATCGCGTTGCCAGGCTAGGTCAGAGCGATCTGCTGCACTTCATTTTCCTTGTAGGCGGAGGTCCGTGTCTCGTGCCTCTGACTGTGAGATAAGCATGCACAGCCATCACAGCCAGCTTCTTGAGGCTCTTTTTTATTCACAATTTTAATTTCTTACAATTAATATTTTGTACCGCTAAAGCGGATTTGTCTTTGGAAAAAATACTTTTAACTCATCACACAACTCCCCTCCCCCCAGGAAAATAAACCCCGGGGAGGACGGGGCGGGGGGCCACTGTCGCTGAGAAGCGGTTGCCACGTGCACCGCACACTCACAGGTGAGACCGGCCGCCGTCTCGTACGTGCCTGGCGGGTGGCGGCGCCTCCCGTTCCCTGGCGTGAGGCCCCCGGTTCTCGTCCTGGGTCACAGAGCACAGAGCAGCAGGACTCGGCAGCATGGCAGCCCAGTTAGGGCTCCCATCAAGCCCCGACTTCACCCAGGAAAGACCGGGAAGGCAGGTAGGGGGACAGCCACGCCTCCGCCCAGCCGAGGGTCACCGTGGTGAAGCGCAGAGCATTCCTGGGCCCAGCAGTGACTCAGTTGTCATGTTGTCGTGAAACCTCTGACACCTGAGGGCACGGGGCATGCAGCTTTTCACACGGGCCCACTTTCTGGAGTTCCTTCTCAGACGCAGCACAGTGACGCCTGAGGTGTTTTGGGGCGGAAAGAGCTGCGTCTGTCCAGGCAGAGGGTCCGGGGGACAGCGGGCCCGTCGGCCATGCGGGTCTCACTCCCTGGCCAGGCCCGCATGTTAGGTAAAGCACCGAGGCTAGCACAGGACCCCTCCCTGGAGTACAGAGCTGGGACAGTCGCTGCCTTCTGCATCGGGGCCTGATCTGGGGACCACAGGACCCAGCGCAGGCCATCCACCTGGGGACATGTATGTGGCTGTCCCCACGGCTCCCCGCAGAGCTCTCCCGTCACCCTGGTCCACATTCTTTCCGGGCTGCTGGTGTGAACTTTCACAGACTACGGCGTGTTCAGAAAACCCACCCACCGCCTTCAGTGTTGGGGGGCGGGGACCCACTCCCCACAAGTCCGGTACCAGTTTCCAGTGGGCTAACGTAGGGGTGGGTGGCGGTTTCTTTAATGTGCCTTCAGTGGAGAGGGTGGCTTTTTTGGTGGGGAGACATGTGCGTTTTATCTCACGGGAGAAATCCCATGTTGATGTCGCAGTCGCTTTTCACCCAGAGCTTCATCCCCAGCCGGATTCGGTTCCCGGGGGCTGGCCGGCTGGGCCTCGTCTTCGCGGCCCTTCCAAGCGTCTGGGCTGGCACCTGACCTGGCAGTGGTTCTCCAGAAGTTCTGGGGCTTAGAACGAGACCCCACTTCCCTTACCCCGTCCTCACCAGCTGCGAGCTCGTCACGACACTGCAGCTGCTTTTCTCTGTCACGAGCATTTGCATAGCTGTGGAAGGTGTTTTCAGATCGTGTGTCCTCATCCCACCACGGGAAGTGCAGACCCCCTTCCCTCACGGCTTCCTTCCTCCTTCCGAGCTGCGCCCGCAGACTCACCTCGCCCCGTTCCTCCCGCCCACAGCTTTCCAATGTCACCCGTGCTCGTCCACTGTGACGTGATCTCCTTCTCAGGAAGGCGGGTGGTAACGGCGAGGTGGTCATCGTCCAGCACCGGCGTTACCGGCCTGGGTGCCTCTGCCTCGCCCGGCTTCGTAACTTTTCTCAAACAAGTCAGATTCATTGCTCTGACAGGTTCAGATATAAACCTGAAATTGAAAAGGGAAAACAGTAACTAGGTCATTGCGAAGTATTAGCGAGCCAAGTGTATTTTAAAGGTACAGAAAGGACACACACCTTCTGTGGTGACCGCATCTGGACGTGGATCGTGCCAGCGGCGCTTGCGGAAAAGTCCACATAACGTCCACGTCCACGCGGGCTCAGATCCATGCTGGTGTGTTGCACGCGGGCAGGCGCTGCGTGTCCCCACTTCTGCTGGAGGAAGGGCTGCGGGTTGGGTGTCTCTGTAGAGACTGTCCTTTGACACAGTACACAAATTAAAGCTAGTAAGGGCAGAGTGTGCTGTGGAAAGAAGCCTTTTTGGAACCCAAGAGGTACCCCTGCATATTTTTTTAAAAGGAAAAGGAAACGTGTGTGGGTTCTGTGCTGAAAGCCTGCGGGCCAACCAGCGGGGTGCGGAGGTGGCTGCTGAGTCGCGGGAGACTTGGGAAGGCAGGCCGGGGCTCCGGGCAGCAAGGGCATCACAGCAAATTGCCGCCTGCTGCCATACTCCGCGCGGCGGAACTCACCCTGACAATTTAATTTAGCAGACAGGCATCGAGACGGGTGCCCTGAGCCCTGAGCCCTGAGCCCCTGAGCGGGGCACCTCTGTCTAGTGCTCAGAGCTTGTTTCCACATCCTTTTGACATCTTTGTGTTTGCCAACCTCTTAATGGTTCCCACTTCTTATTTAAATGTATTTCTAATGAAAGTCATCATTGGTTTATTAAAATGTAAATGCTTCATCAAAACGTGTGTTTCTTAGATCAGGCTTAAGACAGTTCTCTGAATTTATTTATTTGTCTCTGTCGTTTCATCGTAAGGTGGGATGATTCAGATATGTTGATAGAACCATAAATAAGCAGACTGGATTTGCTTTGTTCCCCAGAAGCGATGGTTTCTTAGAATAAGAGGAAGACCCTTTTAGATTGTGAGTCGCCCCAGTTCCCTCTCAAGTCCTGTTTACTTAGGGTGACTGGTCCCCCAGCATCGTCCTGTGGACACACGCAGCACACCAGCTGGGCCCTGGCCAGCATGTGAGCACGCCCGTGCGTTTGAGGAGACCTGGCTTTCTTGGCATATTTAGTTCTTTGTATTCCTGACTGTGGATGACATTATCCGTTTTCTTTTCCCCCAGCTTCAAGATTTGACCCCAAGTTCTTATGTTTCTTTTACTTTTTTTTTGTATTTCTCTTTCATTTTTCCTCAAGGGAAAAAGTGAGAAATAGAGGCGAGTCAGGTAGACAAAGGAAAAGAAAGGATCGGGCTGCGTTTTCACCTTCCTTCACATACCCAGGCATAAATAAGAGGCGAATTCAGTGGCCATAACATTCCTCTCTCATGTGAAGAATAGATCTTCCATGAAATACGAGCATCCCCCCAACGCCTACCCTGTCGGTACACGCTCTGCTTCCCGGTTGACTCTTTCCGCTGTAAAAAAGATTTGGCGTCTCCATAGGGCTTCGAGCTGCGGCAGAGGAGGAATGTTGGAGGGGGGCTGGGGGTGTTCCGCGAGGCGGTGACACATTTCAGGTAAATAGCTGTCAGGGACCTGAGATCTCATTCATAGCTTTGTCAGAGTAACCTTCGGGGGAGAGGCGGGGAGTTCTCTTGTCCCACGTGAGAGGTTGCCATTCGTGTTTTAATTTGCTGTTACATTTTGAAAAAAAATAACAACTTACAAGGAAGTCGTTTATCTTTTTATGATCTGATTTTCGCCC